GATCTTTAACGTGCACGCCAATGTGTACACGGGATTTCGGTTTTTCGTCCCATCCGATTTCCTGGACCTACAGGTTAGCGAGCCAAAGTCGTATCTATTGAGCCACCTACTGGAAACGGCACTCTATTATGAACAGTAGCTATATTCCATGGAACTGTATCCTGTCACTCCTGTTTATTTTTACTAAATGTCATTGAAGTAATTTATATATCTTTCGATTCTGTCATTCAATGTCGCTGATAATGCAATCACCATTGACTTCAAAAATATTGGGCCTAGTGTGTTTGTGCATGATATTATGCACTAACTCATTGTTGTTGTTTTTCGATTTCTTTGTTCTTTCTGTTTTCTTGTTACACAATACTTTATCGTTATTTGTCAGGTATATGCTGCGAATAATTCTAACGTGTAGTAACTGATCTCAGGAATAAAGAAAACTTCACAACAAAAATAAGCAAACAATAAAATAGAATGAAAGTTTAGCGGAATTAGAATATTACATTAATTCTCAAAAGAAAAGAGAAATGGGGTTTAACGTCCACTCGACACAAACTAGGTCACATCAGGACTAACGTATGGTTTAATTTTATTTCAATAATTTGCTTGCGCGTTGGGGTCTTTAGCAGTGGGAGGAAACCGGAGGACCCGGAGAAAACCCACGAGGTTGGACAGGCGATCCTACTCCTTGTCACGTACAACTGGGGAATCGAAACCACGCCAGTTGACTCAATGACAGACTTTATGATACAGCGCGCACACGCTAACCATTCAACTATCCAACCTATCAAATAACTCCTTAAAAATTCAGTTTAAGGACTAGCGAAGAACCGGGTCTTATTGCGTTCAAACGTACTTTAAGCCAAACCAGTTTAACTATTCTGACCACTTCGGTCGGAGGTTAGAGTTAACTACGCATGGGTAGCTTCATATTCTTTATTCGGTTTTTGCACACTTTCGATAACATTGGCACGGCATGACGCCTCCATTTTCCCAGGAATGTAACTTACTGCGTACTACACATGTCCAAAGCGAGCTGGAGCCGGGATTTTTAAGCCAAGTCGTTCAGACGGCCAAGATGAACCAATTTAAACTAAAAAGCCTTCTCGAACTGGGGTTTTAAACTGGTTTAAATTGCCGCACATATGCGTTCAGACGACAAAGTTAAATTGGTTTAAAGATCCCCGGGGTTTTTAAACCAGTTTAACTTAAGCGTCTGAACGGGCTATAATATAACGATAAACCCCATTTCATTTCTATTAGGGATGTTTAAATAAATGTTCAACTATTGCTGCATCTGTCGTTTTTTGTAAATAGATCTCATTTTCTTCTAAGCAAACAGTAATCTGATCTTGATGTTGTTAAAAGAGCAAAATGTCTGAAATACCCTAGGCCTAATTTGTTAGCCTTTCCAAATAAAAACTGATTATTATCATTATTGGTGATCGATATATTAGGGCTTGATAGGGAGTGTAAAGTGTCTTTCTGCAGAGCAATCATTGTGTCGGAAGTGAGATTTTTACCCCAGTCAACATCAAATCTCCTAAGCAAAAAATCTAAACGGTCAACCCCCTACAAAATTATGATGAGAAGATTGCCAAAAATGGTCCTATAAATATTGGAACCAACGGAATGTTGAGCAAAAAGCTACACCCTGTGTTGTTATAGTCATTTAACATTGAAGTCAATGGGCAAATAATTGTTAGTCTGAATCCTTGTACGGTAACCAGAGTTAATTCCCATTACATTTGATTAGGTTATCCAGACGTATTCCCTGTGCTGTTCTTTGCACGTCCTGATAATCCAGTCTTCATTCGCGGGAAATTCAAGATGGCGACAACAGAAAATCGTGATTATCCTGCTGAAAACCCTGCCTTAAATCGTTTGAAAGGAAAACGAACAGCAGAAAATAACGTGGTACTATATGTTCAATAAGTTCTTGAACCAATCAATTCCGAATTCAAAATAATTTTAGGCTATAAGAACTGCGACTGTCCCAGAATAAAATATCAGTTCAGACTGCTAGACTCCCGTAACCGACCGTGCAAGTAAATTTAATTATTGAAATAAAATTGAATGAAGGTTCATGTTAGTCCCAAAATGTCCTCGATTTTGTCTAGTCTAGTTGCAAGTAAGTAAGTAAATTTTATTGCATAAAAACGCCCACGAGGAGCAGCATACAATTACATAAATACAACAAATATACATGTAACAAATAAACGAACATTAGGCCTAATAATACAATGCAACACATATACATGTATGTAGCAAATAACAAACGTATTATATGTATATAAAGCTAGAAATGAATTAAATAGCAAGGGGGGATAATAGGCATGTGCTTCCTTTAGGACTCTTTCGTTTCAGAGTTAAATTATGTTATTTATTGTAAATAAGGCAGAAGGTGTAGCAGATAATGCATCACTCTCTGTTTTTGAAAGCATGAAAAACAAATGAGCACACAAATTTTTCAACTGGTGAGGGTGGGTCAAACATGACATCGAAGGAGAATGGTAGACTGTTGGCGTATAAGGCAGGGTACAAAATATTATTTCGAATGGTTTCATGTTTTGTACATTCCATTAGAAAATGAAACTCATCCTCCCCAATATTGTTAGAGCAGTGTCTACAAATTCTGTCTCTTTCGGCAATGTTATGGTACCGACCTCTCTCTATTTGAAGTTGGTGAGAGCTAAGGCGGAGGGATGTCATTGAACATTTATACTGTTTGTTAGATACGGACAGGAGATATGCTGGAGGTTTTGAAATTCTTGTCATAAAAGTGCTGTATGTTCTAAGTTTTGGCTTATAAATGGCTGGTATAGTTATCTTTCATATTACAGGTTTTTGAATAAAATAAGTTGAATTTAGATTCTAACAAGGATTTTATATTATATTTGGAAAGATTATTGATATTAATGTCATACTCATTTATTATTTTAAGGATCGCGGTAGACCAGGAGTGGACGTTACAGTTAAACCCCATTTCTCTTTCTCTCTAGTCTCTTAAATGACCATCGTTTCTCCAATCTCACATCAGTATTTTTTAATTGTTAATTTTTTTTTATATGAACGTTCCGTTGTACTGAATTAAAGGGCTAGATTATTAGATCTACATCATATACATCTATATTCATTATTAAAGAGTTAAATTATTAGATCTATATAGCTCTCGTTGAAAAACTAAGGGTTGTGCATGTGTTCAAATTTCAAATTCAGTCATTTGCAATTGCATGTACTTAAAAAAACAAAACAAAGTATCCTGATTGAGGTAATTAAGTATTCATTACAGGATGAAGGTTGAAATTTTAATGTGATGAAGGACCTTATCTATTTAGTCTTTGTGACAAAAAATCTACCACTGTAATGCCACAGGTCCCAGTCTACTTTTCAACAAGTTAAAAAAAACCCATTCAAATGGCAACATTACACAAAAATCTAACTTAGCAATACTTTAATTGTTCATGAATGGTGTTTTTTATGGTAAGTCTTATCATATATGTTAAAGTTGCAATTGAAAATTTTCAAGTTATTTTTTTAAAATGTATTAAAATAAAGCCTTAAAATAGATGGTATCCATAAACAGTCCTACCTTGTTAAAGAATAATCCTATTAATCCTATAATTCGCTATTGCCAGCTGAGAAATTGGCAAAAATATCATTTTTAACTTCAAATTCCAACGTTGGAAAATGGCTGCCCCATGTTGTCAATAGCAAAACAGGGGAGGTAATTGTGTTGTTATTTCCTGTGTCATAGATTTTTAAGGGTGGGAAACAATGCCCATGATCGTATAATAGTGATTTGATAACGTATTGAGCAAAAGACATAGAAATAATTATGTTTTGACTTTCTTAGAAAATTTGAAATTCTCACTTTAAGATAAGCCTGAAATATAGCTTGTTCATTGTATTTTTTTCTGGTTGTGGTCGTGGACTGCCCTATTTATGGTCATGAAACCTGTTGGATTTTCAACAATTTCCACTAATTACTGGTTGAGTTACGGCCCTTGATTAATTTAAATAATATTGTAGATGAAGAGGCTAAAGTTGTCTGATTGCCTTGACGAAATTTATATAGTTTTTAAGGTCATGAGATGAAAAACTCTATTATTGATTACCTACATGGGCATGTGTTTTGTTGCCTGGCAACCCATCTTGTATTTGAGCTGTTGACTAATGCAAGAAGTGTATATTTAATCCAATACCATTGCTGGTACATGTAGGGCAGTATGATGTAATACTGGTATACTAATAACTACATGCCTCTACTGTAAATACAGATAGTGTAATTATCTACATGTATAAGGTAGCTTTGGTCTTAATTAACACATACTTCTTATATCTTAGGCCAATAGAAACTAATTACTTGTTTTCATTAATTATACTACACTCTGTACTATTAGTCTTGTGAATATAGAACCACCTAATATTTCTGACATGCAGGCTTTGATAAAGCTTTTAGTTGTAAATGATAAAATGTCCAGCACTATTATGAAAACCTGATCGACATAGACATGTAATATAAAATATCAATAAAACACAGCAAAAAAACAAATTTGTCATGCACAAGATGGATTGTGCCTGACAATATTTGTGATTGGTGCCTTGTTTCCAGGCATAGTGACTGAACAATAAATTATACAATTAATAGCTTTCAGAATCTGTGTTTGTTGGGCTTAACGTCTGAATCTATCAAAGGTGATGGGACAGACAATTTTCAAGATTTGAGATCAAAACCCCTATGATTTAACAGTTTTTCAATTGTCATTTGTCAAGCTTGCTATAAGCAATTGTATGGATTGGTGTGGCCTTGGCTTAAATATTTACAGGTGAAGTGTACTAATTGCTAATCTTACAGTAGGCTATCATTATAAATACATAATACTTCTCAATTAATTAATTACTCCTTGATCTTAATACAAAACCCAGTCACATGTCAGAAACAGTTTTTGTTTTTCTTCAAGTTAGTTACAGGCAAAGGGTTAACCTAGTTGTACATCATGTCATGTGAAGACTTGTAAAAGTTTGAAGTTGGATAAGATTTCTCTCAATGTGAATTTGCTTTTCTTGTGTGAACATGTCTTAAAGATTCTCTGCATTTGGATTTATGTTTTTACCTATTATCTGTGTAGTAGTGAACTGGTATTCCATGTGTTGCCGTGATCAAAACGGATTTAATTCTGTGCATGTAGCTACTGATTGATGGATGAAAAGATCGTTTCCAATCGTAGAAGTTTGAAAGATTTTATTTATAATAATATACTAACTATGTCGTGTTTATTTGTTAAAGTATTAAGTGGTTTATTCAGGCCAGGTGATATGGCATACAAACAGGTAGGCTTACATTGCTAGTTTTATTGTCGGTAAGGGGGTGGTTGGCCAGGTCAAGTGCACTTTATATCATGAAGTCTGTCTTTGAGTCAAGTGGTGTGGTGGTTTCGATTCCCAGCAAGTACATGTACTTGACTAGGAATAATGTCTCCTATCCAACCTTGTGGGTTTCTTCAGATTCTCCTGTTTCCTGTCACTGCTAATAAAGATCCCTATGTGGCATGTGCAAGCGAATTATTGAAATAAAGTTGTACCAAATGTTAGTCCAGAAATGCCTTATTTTTTGTCGATTAGAAGTTAAACTCCATTTTTCTCTCTATCTCTTTATTGTTGGTATTGATTGTCATCCAGGCTCATCACCTGTTCTCTCTGTGTCTGTCAATCCAGTCATTATTTCTTGTAAATACTGTATGACTATAGGTCAGAGTTCTTGTCAGATATATTGCTGGGATACATTAAAGTTTTCCAAACTCTTCATTTACATGTAGACTTCGGAAATCGATAAATGCGATACATGACAATTTTCTCACTATAAATTTTGAATCAGGAACTGGTTGATACATCTTTTTCTTGTTCTTCTCATAGTGATTGTTCTTGAGGTGACATCAGTCCAAATACGATCGTCATGAAACATGACCGGCTTCTTCTTCGGACAGTTGTGCTTAGATTGTAGATTATGATATGAGTAATGATATCACAGTGTCAAGATGGATACGGTGACATCATGGCCGGTTTTGTGTTCATATACATTGTGTAGTGTATGCATGTAAAAAGTTTTGAATCACAAGTGATTTTTTTTTCCATTGAATTTGGTAGCTCATTTTGATACCTCCAGAAACCACTGTTCCATGGACAGTCACAGAACTAGTTCACAGCTATACCATTGACTAACTGGAGCTGAAGTTTCAGGCTGTCCAGAGGTAATAAGATTAATCTGGGCTTGTCGTGAGTCGGACGTTGGCTTGCTAACCTAGACGTCCGGTTGCGTTTCCCTTGTCAGTGGTGATAGATGGAGAGTCTGGCAAGGGACAAGGTATAGTCATTTGGATGGGATGAAAAACACATTGGCATGCACGTAAAACATCCCTTGACAGTTGGAATTTGGCATAAAAACAGACCATAGTGCCGCTGTCCGGGCAAAATTCCCCTCAGCACACTGTGTGATGTGTGCCTGTCTGTTTTAGCAGATCAGTAGGACGTTAAACTCAATTTCATTTCGTGAAAATATGTACAGTTGCCTTGCTAACCTTTTCTCTGTGTGATTTACTTGTCTGCTACATCTTAAAGGAGGCTGTGCACCTGCCAGTTATTGAAAAAATCAGATTATTAAATTGTTAGTAACCAAATCCATTATTTCTTTTTTTTTAGGACAAGACAAACCGAAAAACATTACAAACTTTACAGTATTCATCAAAGGGAGATAACCAACTTATCAGACAGAATAATGAAAATAAGGTACATGGAATATATCTTTGGTCTAACTAAATAATATTTAATTTTTTAAACAAGCCTGGGCAAAAGGCACCTCTAAACAGGTTTCATCCGACACAAATTATCACACAGTGACACAACAATTATATTATAATATTTACATTGTGTGATAATTTGTACCTGACAAATTCTGACTACGTCCAGGCGTAATTGTAAACGTCAGATTATCATGCATGGGGAGCCACGGTGGGTAAGATGCTGGCTTGCTCACCTGGAGGTTGCATGTTTGATCTCTGCATTGGCCGAGAAAGTTCATAGGGATCTTCTGATGTGGTTTCCCCTTGTCATTGTTGCAGGACGGAAGGTCTGACAAGGACAGCTGTCTAGTCATTCGGGTGTGACGAAAAACCGAGGTCCCGTGCAACATTGGTGTGCACGTAAAAGATCCCTTGGCAGTTGGAATTCGATATAAGAGTAGGCTATAGTACTGCTGCCTGGACAAAATTTCCCTCATACTCATAGCACACTGTTTGGCATATGCCCGTCTTCATTAGCCCAGTCGGAGCAGAACCCCATTTCATTTCATTTCATGCTATTATATATGTACACAGTTTATTTGACCAGGTATTTATCCTCAAGGGCTACTCATCTTGTTCTTCTTGGGGTTAAAGCTCTTCATAAAAAGCCTAAGACCCAGTCAATTCATGTACGATCGACCCGAAACTTGGCATGCTTGTTACATGGACAATTGCACAAGTAAATTGATATGTCACAATTTCGAGATGGCTGCAATGATGTCATACTCAAATCCTGGTTCGTAACGTTGGTACACAATGTTCTTGTTCATCCCATCCGACGGACTTGACACTGTTCTTTGCCAGGGACTTCCTTGTCCCACACTGGTATGGAAACCTTGATCTCCCAGTTAGTAAGCCAATGCGCCTTACTTGCTGTGCCACATATAGCTTGATTTACGCTCTTTTTCTCTTTCCAGTTAAATGGCGGTAAAACGAGTATTAAACACACATCCAGACCGATAAAAATATTTGCAGACTTAAAACCGATATCGCCAGTAATGTTAAAGAAATCATGTGACAACAATGCAACACAAACAGATGAATGTTTATTGGAAGATTTAATCGAAGCTAAAATACAGAAAACAGATTTAGAGAAATTGGGACGATCACGAGAAGAAAATTTAACCTCATCATTAAAACTTCGCAATATAGATGTTAGTGAGCAAAGTGTATTAGAAGATGATTTACTTGGAGGTAGGATTTTAAACCATTTGAACACAAACGGAAGTTGTATTGTTCAGGACAAGGTGTTTATTAGGTCAATGCCTTGATGGAGTTCGAAGATGAGCATTTTCTGCTTAGGGTAAACAGAGATAAGCAATTTGATTGGTTGATGCTTTGGGACATAACTTTATTTCTAATTAGGTGCATCTGTCCAACCTCGTGGTTTTTCTCCGGGTCCTCTGGTTTCCTCCCACTGCTAAAGACCCCTACGCGCAAGCTAATTATTGAAATAAAATTAAACCATATGTTAGTCCCAAAATGACCTAGTCTGTGTCGAGTGGACGTTAAACCCATTTCTCTCTCTCTCTCTCTCTAATTAAGTGAGAGTGAGGACACTTGGTGTGGTGTATAGCTTTATTACATCAATACCTTGACTAAGTTCGATAATGAACATTTTCTGCTGAGGTTAAGCAGAGCGATAAGCAATTTGATTGGTCGAGACTTTGGAACACAATAACTCTCCTTCTAATTGAGGTAGAATGTTCAAACTTGGTGTAGGTGTTCATCAGATGAATGCCTTGATGGAGTTCTATGATGAACATTGTCTGCTTATGGTAAGCAGAGATAAGCAATCTGATTGGTTGATGCTTTGGGGAACGATAACTTTGGTTATAATGAAGTGAGAGTGATGAAACTCCGAAGATAGATTTATTATATCATTAACTTGACTAAGTTCGATGGTGCGAATTTTCTGCTTAGGCTAAGGAGCAAGAAGCAATTTGATTGGTCAAGACTTCGGAACATAACTCTTCTTTTAATTAAGGTAGAATGTTTAAACTTGATGTAGATGTTCATTAGGTGAATATCTTGACTGAGTTCAATGATTGGCATTTGGAGCTAAAGCTAAACAGAGCTAAGCAGTTTCTTTGGTCGATGCTTTGGGACAAGATAATCTTGATTCTATCTGATAGAGAGTGATGAAACTTGCTCAATACTTTTGAAAAAAATAAATGTGCGATTAATTAATGTCATCTATTTATTTTGGGATTTCGGCGGGGACATCAGCCTCACTGTTGGCTTGTTTGATTGTTTCCTGAGTTAAATGAATCAATTTGAGTACATTTTAGTGTGGGTTAAACCAGGGAAAATTTGATATTTTCTGTTAATTCAAATATACAGAGACTTTCATTTTTCTACTAAATTTCACCAATTTGCTTCAGGAGAAGAGATAATTGTAATGTTATGTATTTATAGGTGAACCATCCGAACATTACTGGCGAGAACTTGCTGAACGAAGACGTCAAGCTTTAAATGATACACTTGAAGAAAATGAATCGGTATGTTGTTTACAGTCAGAATTTAGTTGTATGTTTGGTCAGATAGAAAAAAAATATTCCGGGCCCATATGCATAAAACATCTTAAATCTAAGGTCAAATTTGAATCCTCCCGGAGGCGAGATTTCCTTAGTGTATGGGGAATTTCTTAAAGTTTCATTCAATTGGGTCATTTAATTTAACCAATGGGTGTAAGTTTTACAAAAGGTTTTCTTAGGGGAAAACCCATTTCACTGGGAAACCTCATTTTAAGCTGTTATACAGTTTGGATACCTTAAAACACATTCTCTACTTATGAGATGTCATTATGGGCGAAGTTAAAAAGCCCCAGTGGTTATCTTCTGGGGCTTTGACTTCACCCATAATGATTTCTCATAAGTAGAGAATGTGTTTAAGGTATCCAAACTGGTCTGCTGCGGAGAAAGAAGTGTTGGTTGAATAGTTCATTAAAAGAATATCAGTAGCTGTATTGCATGGCGAGTTCAGCAATAATATTACTTCAAAATCTCCTGTGTATCAGTTCCAGGGTGAACACAAGGAACTAGAAGCCATGAATGACATGAGTAACCAATTGTCACCAAAGATTATACCATGATGTTCTCTTAGTTCTAACTAACTGTCAACCAATATCGCCCAAAACCTTAAATCAGTAATAAACAGAATTCCTTCTCTATCGAAACGATACCTTTCAATATCCAATGCTTCAAAGCAGTAGTACATAAGTTTGGTGATTCCCGGTGCTAACTCTGTGGTTGAATGACCCCCCCCCCCCCCCCCCAGAAACTTGAGTATATAGGGACTTGCACTGAGAAATATGAGAAACAAAGACATTTTATCTGTTTGATTAAAATAGATTTTAATTCATTTTAATTAGCGCAATCTGCACAGCAATTTAAAAAACGATAATTTCAAAAAACATAATTTTAATTTCACTCTTTGAGAACCAGAATAATTTTTTTTTTTTATTGCCCTAGTTGTATGTTATATAAACCGTTTTTGCCCTGTGCCCAACGTTTTTTGTCATATCTACCCAAATTCTTGTAATCAGTAAATTGTTTGGCTGGTTATAAGGAGGGATCCTATCTTATATGAGGGTTTTGTATTTATTTTTATTGCTGAGTTATTGTCTATTTCATTGATACTTTCCTTTGTTATACGCCCACTTAGTATGGGTGTATATTGTGATCACCTATTCTGTCCGTCGATCAGTCCATTCACATTTGGCTTGTGCTCACTCTACAGCCAAGTTTTTTTTCAATGGATATTCTTTTGTTTGTATTTCTTTGCTCCGTCTTCATTAGCCATTTATTTCTTTGCCGGTAGAAGGTAAATAAACCCATTCTGTTAATTGATAATCTGTTACAAAATATTCATTATATTTTGTATTTTCAGTTACATAATCAAAATATATCATTAAGAGAAGAAAATGAAAAATTAACTGAAGTGGCCTCACAAGCAGAGAACATGGTTTCCTTCTTACAGGTAAGTTTTTAACTGTATTTTCTATAACTAGATTGTCCGTTGTTTGATTCGGGAGCCACGGTGGCTCAGTAAGTAGGAGGTCTCGGTTCTAAAAGACTGGGTTGTCAGACATCTGGTTCTAAAAGATTGAGTTGTCAGCCATCTGGTTCTAAAAGATCAGGTTTTCGGGCATCATGTTTTAAAAGATTATGTTGTCAGGCATCATGTTTTAAAAGATTATGTTGTCAGGCATCATGTTCTAAAAGATTAGGTTGTCAGGCTCCAGTTTTAAAAGATTGGGTTTTCAGACATTTAAAATTATTAAATACACAAAATCTAGAAGTACCTTCTTTGTATATTTTATTACAAACTTTCGTCAGAATTCAATGTTTTGATTTTTTTAGTCTGTTGTTGGTGATGATGGTGAAGAAGAAATTTCATCAGATGGAGGTGACGAAATTTCATCAGAGAGAGAAAATGAAAATTCCTCGGATGGCGATAATGAATATTCATCAGATAATAAGAAGAACCCGGTTGTGAAATCATCGAGTGATAACGGAGATGATGATTGGTTGAATATAGAACTGGAGGGAGAAACTGTAAAATCAACAGAAATAACGACATCAACACCAGAAGCAGTTAATCCGAAATCTTGTAAGAAATGGTTTAATACATAATACTGTACCATAATTATCATCAAAGTTGTTGTAAAAAATATTTAAATTCAAAAGTCTATAACTGTAACACATAAACAAGAGACTATCTATTTACCTCTTGTAACAATGCCCACTAGCTTATAATGTAGTTGTATGGTTTGATGCAATCTAATTAAAACACAGATCATATTTCGTTTCGTTTTTTATATTTCAAAATTTCGTTTTACTTGTCTTCACAACACTAGGATCGGGAAGAGTTGTTATAGAACAGGCGTTCTAGCAAAACGGTCTGTTACGGCGAGTTCTTGGCGTTCTCTGCACGGAACTGTGGGTAAACCCCTAGAAACGTCAATGCTGATTGATTAATCAGTGTCTGACGTCATAGGGGTCAAAAGCTCAGATCTTCATGTAGTTTAGTCCATCAAAAGTATAAAAAAAAAACGGAACGAAATATAGATTGGGTTTGATGTACCTAAAATAAGTATATCTTTATCTATACTTATAAGCAGCCATTTTATGTTACAACTTCACATAAAATAAAACTATTGATTCTCTGTTTTTATTTTATGGGAGACGAAGGTGGGTGGTTGATGGTTCTTAACGTGTGTGCTTTAGAACATAAGGTCTTAGTTGAGTCAAGTGGCATGGTTTAAGCCTCAAGGTTGTACAAACTAGGGTCACCTGTCCAACCTAGCAGATTTTCTCTGGGTCATCCATTTTACTCCACTGCTAAAGACTCCTACGGGCAAGCGAATTATTTGAATAAAATTGTACCGAAATGACCCAGTTTGTGTTGAGTTGAAGATAAACCCCATTTCTTTCTCTGTGATTGTCAAGCTATGTTGTAGCAAATAGGGCACATGATTAAGACATGCTGAGAGCAGATTTGCATGTTGCTTGTGGAAAGATGACACAGACAGCTAGCCAATCAATTATAAAAGCTCCTCTCCAGATTTGATTCCTACTGCTCCAATCCAGACAAAAAAACCCACCAAGATTTGATGCAGGATGGAGGGTTTTATTTTGTCAAAAATTCACTAATAGGCTAATTTAAATCACTACATTTAAACATCCGAATTTAAGGGGGATCACGTGGCTAAGTGGGTAAGACGCTAGCTCGCTAGCCTGGAGGTCGGGTGTTCGATCCCTGCATCGGCCGAGAAAGTTCATCCAGATTTTCCGGCGTGGTTCTCCCTTGTCAGTGATGCAGGACGGAGGAGCTGACAAGGAAAGCTGTCTAGTCGTTCGGATGGGACGAAAAACCGAGGTCCCGTGTACACATTGGCGTGCACGTAAAAGATCCCTTGGCAGTTGGAATTCGATACAAGAGTAGGCCGTAGTGCCGCTGTCCGGGCAAAATTTCCCTCATAGCACACTATATGGCGTATGCCCGTCTTCATTAGCCCAGGTTAGGAGCAGAACAGTAGGACGTTAAACTCCATTTCATTTCATTTTCCGAATTTAAGGCACTACATTTATCTCGTGTCAAATATCAGAATGTTTTCTCTGAATAGTTAAGAGGTCAATCAATTTATGTTGAGCAAAAACGATAATAACACTTTTATTTTAATTTCAGAGTAACACCACAAGAAACATTCAGCCATCATTTGATTGATTTACAAACTGAGTCTAAACAGGCAGAATCTCATTTAATTAAATTGAAAATTAAGTTGTGAAAATATTTTTATGTTTTTTCGTTAATTTTATAAATATTGATGATTAATCAGTAATGAAACAAAAGTAGGATGAATTAATTATATAATACTTTTCTCAGATCAAATTTATTATCTAAAATAATTTAATGTTTTTTCAGATCACATTATATTAAAATTGATTATTACAAAATAATTTATTGAATCAAGATAATTTTTTTTATGTTTCAAATGATTTTCTTATTGAAATTAGCAGAACCGAAATCAAAGATTTTTTTTTCTATTTATATCATTTTTTTAATTTACATTGTGTATATAAACATATCCATTTTGTCATTTTTGTAATAAAGTTTTTTTTCATTGATTCTGATTTTCATTGAAGGCAACTCGTGACATTTTGGGCAACAAATTAAAAATTACAAACACCATATTAGTCTTGAAGGTATGACTGTTCCAGGTTTAAAAGTCGGGGGTAGGGGAGCAACGGTGCCTCAGTAACTAAGATGCTGGCTCGCAAACCACAAAATCTCTGGTTCAATCTCAGTGTGGGACGTGAAAGTTCCTCCTGATTTTCCGGGGTGGGTTCACCTAGTCAGTGATGCTGGGTGAAGGGCCTGTCAAGGAACAACTTCTAGTCATTCGGAAGAGACAGAAAAATAAAAACCCTGGGCACATGACATGCGTGTAAAAGAACTCTTGACAGCTGATGCATAACAGTAGGATGGTAAAGCCTAATTTATTTGCAAAGATGGGTTGGAGGAGCGTGTCGAATAGTTGGTCATTGAGACAGTTGCATGGTTTCTATCCTAGGGTTACATGTGGCAATATCCTAGGGTTACATGTGGCAATAAGTCGGGTCACCTCTAGGTTTCCCCCCACAGCTGAAGATCCCTATGCATGAAATCAATTTTCACTGATGAATAAGAATGCTTGGATGCTGATGTTTAACTGAGTACACATAGCTGAAGGCCAAAAAACGTAACCATAGAAATAATAATTGTTCAAAATTACTAATGTTTGATGTTGGCAGGAAATTAAACCACATACCATTCATTTAGTCGATGTCCTGCCATGTGGGTGGCCGAATGGTTAACGCATGCGTGTTGGATCATAAGGTCATTCATTGAGTCAAGTGCCGTGGTTTCAATTCCCTGTTTGTATGTGGCAAATAAGAGGGTCGCGTGTCCAAACCTCATGGGTTTTCTTCAGTATCCTCCTACTGCTATAAACCCCTATGTGCAATCGAAATCTAATAAAACACGATTTTAGTTTTCTTTTAATTGAATACCCCGAATTTGTACTGAATTGCTATGGATTAAAACATTTTTTCTGGAGCAACACTGCATTGTGCAACATTTTTCGGGCATTGATTATTATTTGTGAATGCAGTCTGATTGGATGATTATAATTTAGGTCGGAATAGATTTGGATTTCAGTTGCAAAACCATTTGACAACTTTGAAGTTGCTTGACTCACGGGGCTAGAATGGCTGAAAAACACATGTGCTGCAGTAAAACTTTCTGGAGGAGGGCAAACGACCGATTGATTGTTTATTGGAATTCACGTCAGCCCTCGAAGTTAGGCTATATTGGACCACATAGAAGTTGCTGTATTCACGGACTGGATGGAATTGCAGAAAAATAAGTTTGCGGCCATCAAGTTTTCCAAAATTTTGGTGCTCGCGTCACTGTCTGTAAAAAGGTAATTTTTGTGGGGATTTCAATTCTGACCCCCCCCCCCCCCTCTTAACATCCATTGAACCCGTACGCCTATCAACCTGGGGCCTGTTTCACGAAATTTTAACTAAGATAAAATCCAAATTTTAGTAATTTGATTGGATAATATTAGACTGATTGTAGTGCTTAGCCAATCAAAATTGAAGTATCTACTAAAATTTGGATTTTATCTTTAGTTAAAATTTTGTGAAACAGGACCCAGAACTCAATTATTGAGGACTGTTGCAAGGGCTCGGACTTGTAGGCTACAATTGCAATTTGCAGAGAGGAAACTAAGAGAACTATGTAAGATAATGATGACTTTAAAAAAAATAAAAACAATTATGGTATAATATTATTAATTAAGACAGGGATACTTTCTCCTGGCATGTAAGTCATTTATCAACTTTTCATCCATTTATAATAATATGTACAGACGATGTTAAAGAAAGTTTATGGTCGTTCGAAAGATTTGTCTCCCCTCAATCACTCTTGTAGGGAAATGTCAATATTTGGTTCGGTGTTGCGAATGTCAACAAATATGGGACGGAATTTTGGTTGTGATAATCATGAAGAAATCAGTTATTTAGATTTGTAAGTTCTGCTTGTTATGAACTGTTTCGACTTTGTTGTCCAACCTACGTGATTAAACATAAAACGAAACACTCCTGTCAGATTGCGTAATGGAAATAAAGCACCTGCCAAAAAGACATTCATTCAATCATGATTCATGTTTGTATTGTATTTGTATTGTCAGGTACAAATACTCTGGTCTCAGTGGTGCCATTCATTTTGTCTGACACAGATTTGTCTCTTTATGTGTTTTTAATGACATTTACTTATAATACACGTCCAGCTCAAAGTTCAGAATGTCAGACCCCCCCCCTCCCCATCTGGATCCGCACCTGCTATGTACGTATAGGCTACTAATCAGTAGTAAAAAATCATCAACAGAGCTAGAAGCTGTGTATGAATGATTAGGATATTAGTATAAAGATAAAACAATTCTTACTAGATCTATTAAGTTTTTTTTAGTTTTTTAAGTGGCATTAAGAAATTATATACCGCTTGTGGTTCCTAAATATAACCTTCAAACATTCGGATACAAATCATTCAAACTCAGTGCTCCTAATCTCTGGAATCCCCTGCCACCGAGTGTTAAATCTGCTCCTTCAATGGAATCGTTTAAAATTAGATTAAAAACGTATCTATTTCAACGTGAATATGACCATTAATGACCAAGACAGTTGAATAGTGTACATATGTTAGCGCTTTGAGCATGCATTTATGGATGGATATATGCGCTTTATAAATATACATTATTATTATTATTATTAGTAGTATTATTATTATTATTATTATTACCGGTAGGCCTATCTGATATATTTACCACGATAAGCCAAAATTGTACATGGCACAAATACTGTTGTCAGCCTGAGTTTGTAATGTTGCCCATGATAGTTGGAAATTGAAGTAAGAGTAGGCTATATAGGTAGAGTGCTATAGTTTGTCACGGCAAAATTTTGCTCATATAGTACAAAAATGCCCATCTTAAATTCCTATTTCATATAACTTATAGTTTGATTATAAACAATAATTTTCACAATTATAGAATTTGAATTGAATGATTGGTGATCCTGTTAAGCCGTAACCATGAATATTGAAGTAATCGGGAGATTAAGACCGCCATCGCCTGGTGAAGGTAAAGTGGAAGTAGAAGTCGACAGGGAGAGAAAGATGGTTATAGCTGGACCACAGGTGATGCATTTCAAGTAAGTTGATGTTGCTTAGGCCTATTTCAGTAAACGTAAGGATATTTGACAAGCCACTGATCATCATTAGAGAGATTTATGATCCCTTGCAAACTAAAAGTTGAATGTCCAAAACGAATGTCAGTCCAAACATTGTTTAGTACCACTGTTAATGTTATTTGAGGGATTTTGAATCCCTTGCAAACTATAATTATGAAAGTTGAATCTCTAAAAGGAATTATATCAGTGTAAAAAATGGTTAAATTTCATTCAGTATTTACAAAGATATGGCAAATTGAAAATTTGTCAACCTTTGGTATCCTCTGCAGATGATATACAGCCAACACAGCAAGTAAGCATTACTTTAGCATATACCAAGCCATGAAAAATTTGATATTATCCAAAACTGTTTATATTTTTTCTCCGACCATCTGGCAAACATCTTAGCTGAAATTGAAATGAAACAATATTTTAACTTCTGTTGCAGTCATATTTAACTGTCTTGATAGCCTGGAGAATTTACCTCGTTCAATTTACATATCACAAAAATGAAAATTTCAAAGAATTGAATCGTAAAACAGTTAAATTGATAGTTTTATGTGTAAGAACATTTAAAAATATATAAAAATGGAAAAAATTCTTGATAATCTGAGATCAAAAACTGACCCATACTAAATTTAGACTGCCTGTCTACAGTTAGCTCCACTTGAGAACAGACACGAAGCTAGTTGACAGACATTTTATGTCCTAAGTCAACGATTTTATTTGAAAACACTACATATTTCGAGAATTTTGAGAAGTATATCCTCTGCTTTCATTTTATAAAATTGCAAAGGTTTAATTAGTCTTTTTGTGTATAACAGATGTGAACCGGAGTAGGACCACATTACAAAACAGTATAGTAATTATTGGATATTGCAGCCATTTAGGGCAGAGTAGAGTAGCTATTTCTTTCTGTGCAGAACCGTCTTCTTTAGCCCAGTATAGGAGTAGAACAGTAGGACATTAAACCCCATTTCATTTCATTTCTGTGTGCAGAATGCAACTGACCAACTGACAGAAGTTATCGTTTAATTGTTTGTTTACTTTATTTATCTCAAATATTTGATTGACAGTTTTCAGTCATTATACCCACAGTCAACATCCACCTATGATATATTCCGTAAATCAGTGGAGATATTATTAGACCTATATATGGCCGGGTTTAATATCTGTCTTCTGATTGGTGGAGAGAGTGGTAGCGGCAAGACGTATACCATGGCAGGAATAAGTAGAAATAATACAGGGTTGGTGCCAATGATATTTGACTACCTGTTCGCTAAATTAACAGGAGGTAAGACTATAATACAAAACAATTTTGGGTTGGGTGGGGGGGGGGAATTGTTTAAGACATGCGTTTTAGATCATAAGGTCTGTCATTGAGTCAAGTGGCATGGTTTTGATTTCCCACTTGTATGTGTCAAGGTGTAGGGTCATCTGTCCAACATCAAGGATTTTGCCCAAGTCTTCCGGGTCCTCCGGTTTCCTCACAGCTAAAGGCTCCACTGCACAAGCGAGTTATTGAAATAAAATTGAACCATATGTTAGTTCATTAGCTAAGATGGCAGCCAGTGCGTAACAAGAGCAGTGGCTGGACATACTTTTACATATATTTTAATCTTATTTTCTCAAATCGTCATTTAGGAGATTTTGAAACCCTTGCAAACTACAATATTATGAAACTTGAATCCATGCGGTTTATATTTTTGTTTTGTTTTCTGAATTAAATGTTGAATAATCAATTTGAGAATATTTTAATGTGGATTAAAATGTTAAAAATTGTCTAAAAATTCAAATGGTGTGCAACAGCTTCAAACCATAATCAGTCCATTTTGTTTATTTATTTTGTAGAACAGTACATGCCCGAGACCAGAGTTAGTCGTCATGATTATAAAGTTAATCTACAGATGCTGGAAGTTTATAATGAACAGATTAAAGATTTACTTAAACCACCACGTAGCGGATCAAATTATTTGAAACTAGCACATTCTCCGAGAAATGGGGTACATGCGAAGGTAAAATTAATTGTTAACTGGCGCAGTCTCAGACAAATGGGGTAAAATTAATTGTTAACTGGCACAGTCTCCTAGAACAGGGTATATGCAAAGGTAAAATTAATTGTTAGCTAGTGGCACAGTCTATGAGAAATGGGGTACGTGCAAAGCTAAATTAATTATTAACTGGCACAGTCTCTAGGGTATAGGCAAAGGTAAAATTAATTGTTAACTGGTACAGTCTCTCCAAGAAACAGGGTATAAGCAAAGGTAAAATTAAATTTTAGCTGGCGCAGTCTCCAGGAAACAGTGTATATGCAACGGTAAAATTAATAAAGGCAGTGCTCGGGAGTATGCAAGAGGTCCACTGGGAAAAACGATGTCCACAGGGGAAAAGGAGGTCTGGTGGAAAAGGAGGTCCAAGGGGAAAAGGGTCCTTGGGCAAAAAGGAGGTCCACAGAGAAAAGGAGGTCAACTGAAAAAAAAAGATTTATGTGTCAAGTGGCGACATGCACCCTACTTTCAAAATCTGACAAAACCAAGTATATGGGAGAGGTGCACGGTCCTGCTTTCCGCAGGTGGAAAAAAGTTGTGAAGCACTGGTTTAAAATAGCAATGCTTGATATCTACAAGAAAAACTAGCTGAAATGTTGCAACTATTAAACTTGGTAATTGTGGTGTATTTCATACACAAACTAGGCCTTGCAAATAAGCTTCGGATTATATCGTGAGTTATTAGGGAGACTGGAATAACACCATTCATATTTAATTCTTTTTAATACGAAAATGACAAAATTTTCTTTAAAGTAAATAATTTAAGCTGTAGTCCCAGCAATATTTTAGGAGACGACAAGTGACACTGGAATAACATTATTCATATTTTTTCCAAATCAAAAGTCAAATTTACATCCCTCTTTTTTTTTTTTTTTTTACGAAAATACCAAACCAAATCCCACAAATATTTTATTAAATAAAAACTGGTTAATTTGGGATAAAATACTTTTATGGGATTTCAACAAACTTTGCATTATCTTTAATTCCAGGATGCCACCTCACTAAGAATTAAAGATGCGAGTTCTGGTTCGTCATATTTTCAACAGGGCCTGGGACGGAGAACAGAAACTATGACAGATTTTGGTCCCGCAGAAAAACATGCTACAACGTTAACGTATATAGATCTAGAAGTGGTACAGTAAATTATATTTATTATTCGAATATTGTTGGACAGTAATCCTGGAATGGAATTGAGCCATTCAGTACACTAAAAACACAAAAAACATTTATTCAGAATATTATACACATTATATGGTTTCCCCATGTCAGTGGTGCTGGATGAATTTTATGTAACAGTAACTAGTCGTTCGGGTGGAAAAACTGAGGTCCTGTGTACACTTTGGCGTGCGCTTAAAAGAATCCTTATGGTTAGAATTCGACGAAGATAAGTTATAAATGTTGCTGTCCAGGTAAACTTTCACTCATAGCACACTGTATTGCGTATAGCTGTCTTCATTAGCCCAGTTGGTGCAAAAAAGTAGGAAGTTAAACCCCATTCCATTTTATTTCATAAACGTATAGAGTGGCGTTCAGACAAGTGTTTATTGACATGATCATCAAATACAACAATTTTGGAACTTTGCACTAAATATTTAATGTATTGCATATACATGATCTTTGTGGGTTTTTTTTTATCGAATAGTAAATTGGAATGTACTTGAATCCAACTAGATAAATGTGATCTAATATCAGAAAACCCTGTGTACTGTGGCTGAGGTATTTGAGTTGTGACAAAAAAAACAACAAACAAGGCACCCCTGTGTAAAAATTGGCAAGCACATAAAGACCCTCCTTTGAAGTCAAAGAAAATAATTGCACTGACAGTTTTCAATTTGTAAATAATCCACAGGTCCAGCTATGTGGTTTTTCACAAAGCAAGCGGATTCCCCATGTTTATTTTGTTTTTTTTCTATCCGCATTCGCTTCTCATGACAGCGAATTTAAAACTGTGTATTTAAAGTGACATTTTTATATACAAGAACTTTTTTATGTTTTTTCCTTTTTTTTTTACTCCTTCATATGTAAATAATCTTAATTAAATCAACCCGTCCATAATTAATGACATGTATAATTTATTGGACGTTAAATTTGTAATACACAACAAGTTGAAGAAAAGTAGGTAAAACACCAGTATCTGCTAGAGATATATGGGACATAGATAAATCTAAGTCTGACAAGGAAGATGTGTCTTGTCCTTTGGATTAGAAAAAAAAATAAGGTTCATCTGTGTACACATTGATGTACACCAGTGTTGCTATTTCAAAATTTGTCTTGTCGGACATTTTTACCTCTTATTGTTAATTAAGCAGACAGATTCAGACCACAATTAAAAATTACATGTCAACAAAATATTCAAATTTGTACATAATAAAAATAGGTGCACCTCGCTACTTTTCATATCTATATAACTACCATACGGTATTTAAATTAATGTCAGTAATAAAAAAAAGTAGATGCAAATGCCACTATCTGAGCAAAATTATCCGACCCAAGCTAGCATTGCAAAAGTAACCATAGAAACAATAATTACCATATACTAGTCTCAAAATGACTGAAGCATTGTGTTGAATCCCATGCCGTTCCGTTTCTGATTGTGTCATGTTAAATCTCTGTAGAGTTTTCATGCAGTCACATCATGAACAGATATGTCAATCACTTCACTGTTAAAACCATTGTAGCAATTATCGGTGCACTTGTCATTGTGCCTACTAAACATCAGCCTTCATAGATTACATGGTGGAAATTCATAGGTGTTCTACAACAGTAATTAATAGATTAGTCAATGGTAATTAATAAACCACAATGGTTATTAATTAAGAACACAATGGTTATTAATAGATTACAAAATGGTTATTTATATATATTACACAATGGTTATTAATAGATTAAACAATAGTTATTAATGGATTACACAATGGTTATTAATAGATTACAAAATCATTATTAATAGATTACACAATGGTTATTAACAGATTATAAAATGGTTATTAATAGATTACAAAATGGTTATTAATATATTACACAATGGCAATTAATATATTACACAATGATTACACAATGGTTATTAATAGATTACACAATTATTCTAAATAGTATTACACAATGATTATTAATAGAATACACAATTATTATTAATAAATTAACCAATGATTGTTGAAAGATTATATTGTTAAATCATTAATAGATTACACAATGATGTTAATAGATCAGTGGTTTTGATTATTGATAACTTTAAATTATTGATTACAAAATGATTGTTAAAAGATTAATAGAACACACAGTTGTTATTGTTCGATGGTAAATTGTAATTAATAGATTGCATGAATATTATTAACGGGCTCCAAAATATTTATTTTTAGATTATCGAGCGGTATTAATTGTCTGCCCAATGGTAATTAATATATTACCTGATAGCCATATATACAGGTAGTGGTAATTTATTAATGAAGCCAAGGTTATTAATAGGTTAGACAATAATTATTAATAAATTACACAATAGTAATTAAAAAATGAAATATTGGTTATTAATAGGTTCCACTGTTAATAGATTACACATTGGTCATTAATAGATTACACCATTTATAGATTATACCATGGTTATTAATAGATTACACAGTAGTAATTAATAAATTAAATATTGGTTATTAATAGGTTACACCATTAATGAATTACACATTAGTAATTAGATTACACCATGGTTATTAATACATTATTATATGCCTGTCTTCATTGGTCCAACAAAGTAGGACATTAAACCCCATTCCATTTCATTTCACCACTCTTAATTACAAATAATACATACCTTTCCAGTGGTCCTAAAGTCACATAGTTTTATAAAGATTGATAGACATCCATATCATATTACCAGTAGGTTCTTTACTATATTTACTCTGTAATAAAAACATACAATATAGATCTACATTATATCTGAAATATATTTACATTGTAATAAATGTACAATATATTAACTGGTTTCACTGGACAATACAACTGACATTAGATTGCTGCAACCCTCAATAGAATTCACAATCATTTATTGTAGAGACTTGAGGCCATAGAAATATCACTTCTGTTTTCTGAGCCTACACATTGACTTGAGTTGGATTGATTTGCTGTGTGTAGGACCCTGTCATAAATTCTGTGTACGTAACTGGCTTTTTTCACCACATTATTCCATACTAAAATGGACCCAAATTGATTATTTAACATAATTTGTTGTAGCTCCAAGTTAAAAGTTAGAACACTATAGTATAAAACTAGAGGATTATTAAACAAACTGTCCTTGGATGAAGCCCCACACCTTCTTGAAACTTAAAATAGATAATAGTTTTACTAATCATGATAGAATGGAAAAAGGGGGAAAAGTGTGTGCATTTTTTTGACCTAATAAAAAGGTAATGTTTATTTAACACCTCACATAGGTTTAAGCCCCACACACCTTCTGTCGTGATCCATAAAAAAGATAATACTAGAAAGAATGCTTAAATAAAGGGGATTTTTTTTAGTCCTAATGAAAAGGTTAGCACACTAATGTGAGGACTCTTAAACAACCTTCCTGTGTTGAAGCCCTAGACACCTTCCCTCATGATCCATAAAAAACGATAATACTTTTGCTAACTATGTTAAGATGTCCCATACAGTTTTGACCCTGAAAATATGTAATATTTTTACTAATTGTGGTTTATTAAAGGGGAGAATTCAAAGGAGGGAAATATTTTCTTTTTCTTTTGGTCTAATAAGATAGTTAAGAGTGTATAGTATATAGTTGAGGACTATCAAACACCTCTTCTGTGTTGAAGCTCTACACACCTTCCAGCATGACCCTTAAAAGATTTTCTTTTTTTGGCCTAATAAAAAAATTAAGAGGGTATATACTAAAGTAGAAGGCTATTGTTAACAATACATATACCAGTCAACAATTACCCATTAATAACTTTTATTCTGCTGTATTCATAAATACACACTCCACTCACCCATTCTATTCAAGAGACATTCTACCATACAAAAATACATAGGTGTAATGAATTATTATAAGGTCATTATTATATAGCATGCTGATATTATTATAAGAAATTTGTATTCCTTTATTGTTTAGTTACTAAAGTGTGAAAAAAAATTATTATCTTTATCATTTCAAATTTCAAAAGTTTATTTGAAAATGGCCAGACCTCTTTATTTATTGGATTTAATTTTAAAGTTGATTTGTTGTAGGGTGAAAATCTGTCTTTGCTCCAAGTAAAGTCACTGTTGAGATATATGTAATTAATTGTGTCAAATAGTCCATTTTTGTATGCATGTACATTGATGCATGTGCTGCCCTCAGAAGGTGTAATATGCAAATACAAAAGTTGATAGATAAAAGTGGTGACAATCGACATAGTAAACCCAAAATAAAAATAAAATTAGTAAACATGTCAACTTTGAAATAAAAATTGATGAGTATACTATAAAGATTGCTCTTTTACTAACTGAAAAATAACACCGTATCCACTCAATTAAATACTTTATTTTGACCAGAATAAAAGAGTTATATCTCCTTTAAAATCCATGTATTGTGAATAAAGCAAGTCATTTACTAATGAAAAACATTAAGAAGAACTTTTTTGATACCAGTAACAAAATTTTGAATTGGGTAACATGTCCCTTTAAAACACTTCTCCCTTTTTTATTGAAGACATATTTCAAGCATTGAACAATCGTTTATTGAATATGATTCGTAGGTTATTGTTGCTATTAGCGACCAGTATTTATTATTACATGTACACACTTTTCATGAAGGATTTTATTTTGTTGTAAAGTTTCAGGTTTCTATGTAAGTAAACAGATTATCTTGTAAATTATTTAATTAATTATAGAGATTAAACGATCTAATATTTGTAGCTTAGATATTTAGTATTGAATTTAGCTCTTTTATATTGTAATGCTACCCCTTTTAATAAGGCTGTTTAAGGCTTCGGACCCATAGCTTGAACTTATATATTGTTTATTATTTAATTGGAGCCATGGTGGCCCGGTGAATATGGTGCTGGCTGTCTAGTTATAACCTGGAGGTCCCAGGTTCGATCCCAAAGTTTGCCGAAAAATCTCCATAGTTTCTTTTTGTCAGTCGTACAGGAGAGAAGACTGGGTAAGGGAAAGCATCTACTCGTTCGGATAGGATGAAAAACAGATAGAGTTCCTATGTTTTTCATTGACAGTACATTAAAAACTGAAACTCGAAATACTTGTAGGACGTAGTGGCACTGTCTGAGCACAATTTCCATTGTAGCACACAGTATGGTGTATGTCCGTCTTCATTAGCCAGTTTTGTGCAGAAAAGTTGGACGTTAAAACAAATTTCATTTTAGATTTATTTAACTAATACGTAGTTTTAACAAATGAACTATTCAGATGTATGTTTTTAACTCAGTAATAAAGAATTTGTTCAGTTGATGAACCAGGAACTTTGTAATCTTGTGGTTCTTTTTTTGAAAAGAAAAAAGCATATAGCTCCACCAGTAAAATTAACATAAAATTGCATGCTAGTTCTTTGAACAATTGCTCATTGATTGACAGACTTTGATTTTTTATATGATGTCACAATTACAAGATGGCTGTGATAACACCGTGCTTAATTCCTGGATCATATAGCACGCCTGTACCATTTTGTGGCGACATTTTTGTTTTATTTTATTAAACAATTTTTAATTAAGAATAATTGATCTATAAAGTAATGATGATAATATTTTATTTGTAAAAGCCAGCCCATTTTTTTAATACTTGGGCCTACTTGATTACATAATAACAATGGTCTTTTTCGTAAAATCCATTCTTAAACATACTTTAGTCAATAGTTTTTCTACAAATAGTACAAATTTTAGAATTTTGAATTTATTAGATATATGAACAATCTGACCTGTTGTTCCTTTAACATAATGTATCAACTTGCCATTGAAAATTTTACTGTCTGTGTATGAAATAAGATTTATAACAACTATTGTTTGCTTTGTAAATAAACTTTTAAAGTAGATAGTCTATATCTAGACAAAAGTCCAGGAAAGATCCACATGTTAGAAAGATAGTGAGTGTGTGTATGTATATAGGTATCCATTTGTATACTCTATACAAATTGATGGGTTAAAGCCACAGATTCTGAATCTCTTGTAAAATACAATATTGTGGTACTTAAACATTCATTATGCAAGAGCTAAATCTGCCTATTACAGGTCTTTCTTTAATCCTGAAATGTTATCTAAATTATTAATTAGACATTTATTAACTTCCCAGGACCATAATCACCTCTCGATTCCATCGGATGCCTGTGATATTTAGTGGATTTGAATACATTTTGTGATGGATGAAATGACCGTAAAAATGGATAATCAAGACTTTTTCAGCATATTTTCTTTACATTATCTATTTTTTAACTATTATAGCGAGAACTGTTAGCTCTTTATCTAATCTTACCTAATGCCCCTTTAAATCTGTAAGATATCAGTTAAAATATGATTCAATTCCATTCAGTATCTGCAAAGATAGGATTCAATTGGACAGATAATATAAACAAGGCTACAGTGTTGGGTAAAATCTTTTGGATCCATTTTGATTTGGGGAGATTTATTTACCATTGTAAGATTTCGATAAAGAGTTGGACGTTCTTGCAATAATAATAGTTCAAAAATAGATAATGCAAAATGAATATATTGAAAATTTCATTTGAAGTACTTTATTCTGAGCGAAGGTATTAACCTGTGAAGGTTTGACAAGATGTGTGTACTGATTGTAACTACCGTACTGGTTGTTCGAGGCTAAGCTCCTCTTCACCATTTTTACGGTAAATCATTCAATGGCTGAACTTATCTAATCTACTTAAAATCGGACCCATCCGATGGCATTGAGAGTTGATTATAGTCTGGCATATTAATAAATGTCTAATTAATAGTTTTATAACATTTAAGGACTAAAGAAAGACCTGTAATAGGCAGATTTAGCTCTTACATAATTCCTGTTTAAATAATAAATCTGAATACATTTTCTAATGGATTTGGCGAAAAATTAGATATTGTACGTAAAAGGACAATTACCATCTACTCATTTATTGGATAATTTGTTTATACATTGTACATAGAAATATATTTATTTGTTATTTTTTTTTCTTTCAGAAAGTTGGACAGAACCCGAAGCCGAATCGATCTCGGTTTAGTATTATAGAATTACCTGGTGTTGAGAAACTAGCTGATAATGTCGAGAGAATTCGACTAAGAGAAGGGCCTGCATTAAGCCAGTCTCTGATTGCATTAAATAGTGTTATAACATCACTAGCCAGTAATCCTCAACCTGAACGCATTATAAATTACAAGTGAGACAAATTCTAAATAAACTTATGCACTTCTCTTTAAAGATACATTCCTACGACAATATTCATAGGGTAGCTATTTCCAAGGTTCCGTGTACATATTCGCATGAATGTAAAAGATAACTTGGCAGTTGGATTTCGAGATAAGAGTAGAACGTAGTGCCACTGTCCAGGCAAAACTTTTGCCCAGACAGTCGTACTTTTAATTATTAATTTCAAACTCTGTCATGGGTTCTTTTATGTGCACCCCAATGTGTGCACAGGCCCTCATTTTTTTGTCCCATACCAACGACTATACATTGTCCCTTGCTAGATCCTCCGTCCTACCCCACTGACAAAGGAGAACCACGTCGGAAAATCCTGATGAACTTTCTCGACCAAGGCAGAGATCAAACATGGGGGGCTCCTGGGTTTGCGAGCCTACATCCTGCTCACTGAAACACTGTGGCCCCCCTGTCCACAAGAAGAGAAAGCAAGCAGCGATTAGACATTGTAAAAATCATAATGCAACAAACTTTGCTTGACTGGCAACCTATCAGAAAAGGAACAGGCCTAATTGCTTTGAATTAATTATGAAATAAAGTTATAGAATATTGTATATTTAGATATGACCATGTTTATGATTGTTATTTTCAGACAGTCTGTATTAACTCAACTATTACAGGAAGAACTTGGTGGCAACTGTAAAACTCAGGCTATAATCTGTATTAAACCAAGAACAGCTTTCGATGTTTCCAACACACTTCTACGATTCTGTTTAAATCTATCACAAGTTACAAACTTTCCTGTCGTTAATGACAGTCTGGCACAGGTACAAATAGCTTGAATATCTCAATTAAAAATCAGGGGTGGGTTGACCGAATGGGCTAATATGTGTGCTTTAGATCATAGGTCTGTCATGGAGTCATTGGTTTCGATTCCTAGCTGGTACGTGACAAGAAGTACACTTGTCTTTCACACCTCAAGGGTTTTCTCTTGGTCCTCCGGTCTTCCCCCACAGCAAAAGCAAATTATTAAACTAAAATTGAACCTTATGTTATTCCTAAAATAACCTTGTTTGTGTAAAGTGGATTTTAAACTCAATTTCTCTCTCTCGGGTACAAATAGTTTTAAACATCATGGGTAGAAATAATTTGAATATCATAGTAGGTAGAAATAATTTAAACATCATGGGTAGACAAAATTTGAGAGAGGGAGAGAGAAATGGGGTTTAACGTCCACTCGACACAAACTAGGTCATTTCGAGACTATGATATGGTTCAATATTATTTTAATAATTCGCTTGTGCATAGTGGTCTTTAGCAATGGGAGGAAACCGGAGGACCCAGAGAAAACCCACGAGGTTGGACAGGCGACCCTACTCCTTGTCACGTACAACTGGGGAATTGAAACCACGCCAGTTGACTCAATGAAAGACCTTATTGATACAGCGTGCACATGCTTACCATTCGGCCATCCACCCCCTCCCCACTCCGCCACTCCGAAAAAATTTGAACATCACAGTAGATAGAAATAATTTTAAACATCACCATAGTATACAGGTAAAAATAGTCATAAAAATCACACAGCCTACCTCTGTACAGAACTTTTGATTCGTTATTTAGACCCATTGGTATCTTCCCAAAGCAGTTGGGAAATCGGGGCTTGGGGTAGTTGTGAAAGAACCCTTGACAATTGGAATTCGACAAAGAACATAACCATTATATGATACTTTCCTTCATAGCACACTGCATGGCATATGCCCATCTTAGCCGAGTTGTGCAGCATAGTTGGACGTGAAACACCATTTTATTTAATTTGCTGTTGTAACACAACAAAATGACATAAAAAAGATAGTAATGTCCTTGTCAGGCACTCCGTACTGCACCACATTTTATTTAAGCAATCTGTTGGTGACAGATGCGTCTGCAAAACATCCTTATTTGAGATTTTTAGGTCAGGCTGTTATCATTTTCATATTCTTCTATATCATACATGTGGCATCAATCCCTAATTATATTACACTGTCCTTGTGATGATTTGCCCCCTACCATTGCTCCTATTACAATTGTTTATGTTCTTGTATTCAAGAATTTAATGACGAACTACAGAACAAAGGTGATCGACATGGAGCAGACGCGATCCAGTCCCATTTTAATGACGACAATGCCGACGTCAAGTATGCCAATAGGATCGACTACCATACCTAATGTAACAACAATACCAGCATCGGTACCGGGAGGAACAAATTATAGAGTTGTTCCCCTTGGAAATCAGGGTGATGATGAAATACGAGCGTTACAGACAGAAAATGTAAGATTTGTATTTTAACAGATATTTAAAAATCCCAGCACAACCAGCAGTATAAAAACAGACTAAGGTTTAAATAAGAGATGGTTTATTCATCTTCATAAAGCTCATAGACCCTTTATCAAATCATTGTTTAAGTAATCCTGCATTTGTATGTAAGATGTATGTAAGATTTAGATAAAGAGATGACAGTTCTCGCTATATTAGTTAAAACATAGATAATGAAAAGAGAATATGCTGAAAATTTCCGGAAAATTACTTCATTCTGTGCCGAGTTATCATCGATTTCAGAACAGTGTAGTCCTGATTGTCATTGCTACCGTTGTTACGATAGTAAACAAAGCCTGGATTATCCATTTTTAAATTAAATCGTTAACTGCAAATCGTATTTAAATCTGTTGAAAATTTAAAGCATCTGATGGCATCTAGAGTTGATTATGATCTTGGCAAGTTAATTAGCGTCTAATTAATAATTTATATAACATTTAAGGCCTAGAGATTTATTTTGGTGATGAAATAAGACTGACATGGTCGTAGTTTTAGGGAACCATGGCGGTGTGGTTAATATGGTGCTTTCTCAATAAACATAAGATTTTTTGGGAGAAATTCCTGGAGATTTTCCAGTCTGGTCTCCAATTGTCGATTGTGCAGGAAAGAGGGCCTTACATGAAAATGCATCTAGTTGTTGGGATGTGACGGAAATACAACCTGTGCATACCATTGACAGCATATTAAAGATTCCCTGGCAACAGGAATTTGACATAAGAATAGGTCATAGCACCACTGACTGGTCAAAATTTCACTCTGTCTAAATTATCCCAGATGGTGCGGGATAGTGGTATTTTAAAATCCATTTCATATCTTAGTTTTATTCAGCCTGGGAATTCATTTGGCTACAATCTGTTTTATTAATTCTATCCCTACCTGACAATCTGTGAAACTTTGAGCATGATAATTTGTAGACAATGATTATTTGATTGATTATAAAAGTCATGTTTTGTAGACACTGATTGATTGATTGAATAAAAATGTTGTGTTTTGTAGTTGATATTAAAAGATCAAAATGAAAGACTGCAGCATCGTCTCGAATCACTGACTGGGAAATTTGGTAATTTATCAAATACCAAAACTGATTTATCTCAGCAACTATTAGCTAGTGAAGAGGAAAAACTCAAGGTAAGGCCCTTTATTTAACTCAAGGTAAGGCCCTTTACTTAGTTCAAGGAAAGGCCCTTTATTTAACTCAAGGTAAGGCCTATTACTTAATTCAAGGAAATGCACTTTATTTAACTCAAGGTAAGGCCCTTTACTTAATTCAAGGTAAAGACCTTTATTTAACTCATGGTAAGGCCCTTTAATTAACTCATGGTAAGGCCCTTTATTTTACTCATGGTAAGGCCCATTATTTAATTCAGGGTAAAGACCTTTATTTAACGCATGGTAGGCCCTTTATTTAACTCAAGGTAAAGTCCTTTATTTAACTTAAGGTAAGATCCTTTATTTAACTCAGAGTAAGGTCCTTCATTAACTCAAAGTAAACCCCTTATTTAAATCAAGGTAAGGTACTTCATTTAACTCAAGGTAAGTTCCTTTATTTAACTCAAGGTAAGGTCCATTATTTATTTCAAGGTAAGTAAGTTAAACCTCATTCCATTCCCTAATTGTACAGTTATCCCAAGTCATTTTGTCTTGTCACATATAAAACCAAATAAATACAAATAATAACATGTTTTAAAGTAGCTAAGTCTCTAACTCAATGTCATCAAATGTCTTCGACATAGAAAACACAAATTATTTGTCAATTTAAATCAACATTGATGCTGTGATCTTACCGGGAAAAGATGGGCTTCTGATATCCAATATTTATGACAAAATCAACATTTTACCATTGGTACAAGAATCGTGTACTATAATGGGTTTCAGCGAAATTTGCAACAAGGGACTCGAAGAACGAGGCTAGACATATTCTAAGAGTCATGTCAAATGGTGACGTCATATTCTTATCCGGAGAGCATGTGCAATAAATACTATTGGTGTAGACTGGAATAACTAGACGCTAGCGATTGCCATTTGACTGAGACTTCTGTTGTATTTCACAGAAATCAATTTATATACATTCATATTACATTATTATATGCCTTGCGACCCATTTGTCGCAATTTATAGGTCCAAAATATTAGCGATTTAGCTCCTTTAACAGGGAGTTAAAACTGATTCCATTCCCTAATTGTTTAGGTATCCTCAGTCGTATTGTTAAACCCTCTTCCATTTTGTATGTTTTCAGGTATCTCAGTCTCTAGTTGAGATGCAGATAGAGAATAATAAAATAAAGGAAGATGCAGAAGCCATGAAATTTGAACTCACCAACAAGGTCAGTTAATTTTCTTTAATCCAAAATGTAGGAGCTGCATTGACTAAGTGTGTAAGACAAAGGCTCAGCAACTTGAGGTCTCGGGTTTGCTCCCGGTATATGCCGATAAAGTTCTTGTGGGATTTTTGGGCCTGGTTTCTCTTGGTCAGTTGTGCAGGATGAAGGAGTGGACAAGGACAGTGCCTATTCGTTTGGATGGGATGACAAAATGAGGTCCTGTGTACACAGTGCAGAACAGTAGGACGTTGAACCCCTTTTGATTTAATTCCCTATGCACCAGATGACTAATATGCATTTTCCTTATTTAAACTCGCTAATCGTCATTTGCAATTTTCGAACAATATCTGATTTATTCATGGATTAATCCATGTTTAACTGTACTCGACGGGATTACTTAACATTTGAATAAAAAAACAAAATCAAAATATCAATGGTGCATAATATCGCAACTTGGATCCAGTCATGTTAACCCGTTAACTGCGTAGAACATTATATATCGTCCTGGACAACTGCCACTCATCGTGTGTAGGACGTAATATAACGCCCTGGAGATATTTTCCCCAACCTATTCTTCAAACACAATCTCAGCATGTTTAGGACGTTATATTACGCCTGGTCGAGGAAATCTAATTGAAGGGAGAAAACTCTATTTACTGTTAGTTTTAGTATGGTTTAAGACCACTAAAATTTGTATTCAGAAAAAAAATAGGCCCAAAAATGACGTTTTTCGTCAAATTAATTACTCAATAGGGGGTAGTAAAGGTCAAATTATTTACACAGTTAAGGGGTTAAGAAGAGGTCCGTCAAAAGATTTTACTATAAACTTATTGATGGTGATGGCTTTTTTCTATCATCTGTAGAGGATGCTGAATGTTGCGAAATTTTCAATTCATCTAGATCAGGGGTGTCAAATATGCGGCCCAAAGGTTTAAATGTGGCCTGTGGAACAAATTTCAACAAAAATGACATGTCTATAATTTTTAGAAACTAGCGGTGGAAATCATTTATTATTGTTTTCCAGTTTCAGTAAAACTCTGACTTCTGTACTGTATGTCATAGATATCTATGTTGTATGTAATACAAGAGAACGTTGTGTTCAATATTATATCTTAGCAATTTGGAAACCAGTCTAAAGAATTACTTGTGTCAAGGACGTTTGGCTTTGTTTTTAGAATTCAGTAAAGTTCAAGGACGTTTTGACTAAAATTTTAGTTCATATGTGACCCCTGAATCGAAATGATCTTGACACCCCTAATCTAGATCTTTGTAAATACTGAACAGAATTGAACCATATTTGGATTGGTATTCCTTTTAGAGTCCCAACTTTCACAATATTGTAGTTGCCATGGATTTAAAATCCATCAAATGATGATCAGATATTTAACAAGATGTGTATTCTTTAATATTGTAGATTATCACACTAGAAAATCAGCTGATGGAAGCCGAAAATGAACGAGATCGCCATCTTAAAGGAGCTAAAGGAGCGAAAGAGAGGTTGGCTGATATGGAGAAAGATCGTAAAGATATGGCGGATGAATACGTTGCACTTAAAGCAAATTACTCAGCTTTAACTAAAGAACATCACAGAGAGGTAGTTCTATTTAATAAATGACTTGTTTTTTCTGGTCATATACCTCAGCAGGGCTTTCATTTCCAAATTTTGACAGTTGGACATTTTTTGGATATATAATTTTTATCTCAGGGGGTTGGGTGGCCGAATAATTAACGTGTGCGCATTGCATCATAAGGTCTGTCATTGAGTCAAGGGGCGTGGTTTCTATTCCCCGCTTGCATGTTATGTAGATTGACTGGTAAGTTAGCCAGTCATTCAGTTTTACACCAATCAGACAAGAGTCAAGACTAGTCAATATGACTAAAAAGGGACTTCTTTACGGAACCCACAAATTAACTCTACAAAGCAATGATATATTATATTTATTCTAGTTATTCAGAAACGATATATTATATTTATTCTAGGTATCCATAAATGATATATTATGGTATATTTATTCTAGGTATCCATAAATGATATATTATATTTATTCTAGGTGTCCATAAATGATATATTATATTTATTCTAGGTATCCATAAATAATATATTATATTTATTCTAGGTGTCCGTAAATGATATATTATATTTATTCTAGGTATCCAGAAATGATATATTATATTTATTCTAGGTGTCCAGAAATGATATATTATATTATATTTATTCTAGGTATCCAGAAATGATATATTATATTTATTCTAGGTGTCCAGAAATGATATATTATATTTATTCTAGGTGTCCAGAAATGATATATTATATTATATTTATTCTAGGTATCCAGAAATGATATATTATGGTATATTTATTCTAGGTATCCAGAAATGATATATTATGGTATATTTATTCTAGGTATCCATAAATGATATATTATATTATATTTATTCTAGGTATCCATAAATGATATATTATATTTATTCTAGGTATCCATAAATGATATATTATGGTATATTTATTCTAGGTATCCAGAAATGATATATTATATTATATTTATTCTAGGTATCCATAAATGATATATTATATAATATTTATTCCAGGTATCCATAAATGATATATTATATAATATTTATTGTAGGTATCCATAAATGATATGTTATATAATATTTATTCTAGGTATCCATAAATGATATATTATATTATATTTATTCTAGGTATCCATAAATGATATATTATATTATATTTATTCTAGGTGTCCAGAAATGAAGAACTGGCGATTGAACTGTTGAATCTGGTAAATGCCAAGGCAGCACTGATGAGACAAGTTCGTGTACTAACAAACGGCGATACTACTGTTGGTGATCCTAATGCAGAAATTGCTCGAATCAAGGCACTAGTGGCCAAAAATTCAAATGGCCGAGTTCGAGTAGACGATATTATCGGTAATCAGAGCGATCGTGATGCTGCAGCTGACAACGTAAGTTGAAAAACAAAGGAGTGTTGCCTATAGGTGATGGAATTGTTTGAAAAACCAAGGTTCACTCCTGTATCCACTGGAGTGCATGTAAAATGAATCCTTGACAGTTTGAGTTCGATAAAAAGTTCTACTATCTAACATTACACACATAATTATAGAAACAAAAATAAAGTTAGACTCAAAATGACCCTATGTTAGTCTCAAAATGACCATATTTTAGTCTCAAAATATCACATGTTAGTCTCAAAATGACCACATGTTAGTCTCAAAATGACCATAATTTAGTCTCAAAATACCACATGTTAGTCTCAAAATGACTACATGTTAGTCTCAAAATAACCATATGTTAGTCTCAAAATGATCATATGTTAGTCCCCAAATTACCATATTTTAGTCTCAAAATACCACATGTTAATCTCAAAATGACTACATGTTAGTCTCAAAATGACCCTATGTTAGTCTCAAAAATGACCCTATGTTAGTCTCAAAATGACCATATTTTAGTCTCAAAATGACCATAGGTTAGTCCAAAATGACCATATGTTAGTCTCAAAATGACCATATGAGAGTCTCACAATGACCGAAGTATTGTATTGAGATGTTAAATCCTAGTCCTGTCCTATTTTTTGTCATTATCTATGATGTTGGTATTTTTTCTGTTGTAGTTATTAAGTAGAAATCGGTTTTATGAAAATGAGATTACACGATTAAAGAAAGAACGAGGTGGTGACACGGAACGGCTAGAGGGCAGATTGTAAGTTGATTTCTTTTTTAAATTAAAAATGCATTATTTAAAAGCTTAATCTGCCTATTGCAGGTCTTTTTTCTAGCTTCAAATGTTATATAAATTATTATTTCGACAATTTATTCACATGACAAGCCCATAATCAAATCTCTAGTTCATTGGATGGGTTAGATATTAAATGGATTAGAACACTTTTAATAATTTAATTATAAAAATAATGATCAGGTCTTTGTTTATTATCAAACCATTGGTACTTGACAAAAGGCATCTTTAAAAGCCAAATATACATTTTCAGTACATACACATGAAAAAATAATCTTATTAAAAAAACAAATCGGCCCATGAATTATTAAAATCGATTAAATCTAATATAATGTAAAACTATATAAAAAAAATATTCTAATTCTCAGATAATCATGTGTCACATAAAAACATTTTTAGTTCAAATAAAAAAAAATAAAAACAGTCTCATTAATTATCGGGGCTTGGGTGGTCTAGTGGTTTAACATGTGCGCATGAAATCATAAGGTCTGTCATGGAGTTAAGTAGAGTGGTTTCTATTCCCAGCTTGTACATGGCATGGAGTAGTGTTGCCTGTCCAACCTCATGGGTTTTCTCTGTGTCCTCTGGTTTCCTTCAAATACTAAAGACCCCTACGCGCAAGTGAATTATTGAAATAAAACTGAACGGTTGATCCATATGTTATAAGAACTAATTTAAACATACATTATGCAAGAGCTAAATCTGTCTATTGCAGGTCTTTCTTTAGACCTGAAATGTTATCTAAATTATTAAGTAGACATTAATTAATCTATCCAGACCATAATCAACTCTAGATGGCATCGCTAGCCCTCGATCTTTAGTGGATTATGGGCCGATTTACTGTATAACTTGCCTTCATGATTCAACGATGAAATGGATAATCGAGACTATGCTGTTTATCGTACTGACTTTAGTAATGATGATTGAGGCTAGACGGAAATTTGAAACGCTTAGTTCTCGATTCATAGTGGATCAATTTGAATGAAATTTACAGCTAATTGCCTTTACATTATCTATTTTTTGACTATTATAGTGAGAACGGCCAGCTCGTTATCGAATCTCCCATAATGTATCTTTAACCAAGTAGTGATCCTTTGACAAAATAAAAACACAAAAAAAAAACCCTCCCTCATGGATCAGATTTTTGGTAAGAATGGTCGTAGAACCAGATTGGTTTTTTTTTGTATGACCTAATGTGTGATATATTTAATTAATGTGTGATGTATTTAAATAATCAGTGATATATTTAAATAATGTGGGATATATTTAAATATTTCAGGACTAATTTATATAAAGAATTAACACAAGCCAGGAATTTAGCTCGTGAAAGACAACAACAAGTCTCCGAATTAAATGCTGTAAGTATAAAGTTGTTTCTCTCGCCTCCTCCCACAATTATCTGCGCACAATTATTGAATTTAAGGTATACCATATATTAGTCCCGTAATATCCTAGACTGTGCTTTCGGTTAAATTTTTTCACGACTAGTGGTCGGAACTAGAAACCGAATGTGAATAGTCCGGACCATCGTCTGTTCAAAGATGGCTGCCCCCAAGGACATGGTGATTTCATTTTACTCAGCTTTATACCTCGACCATAACCCTGAAAAAAAACCTTTAACCCCAATGATGGTCTATACATCTCTCCATGGAAGATAATGAATCACTGTGTTATATAGTTTAATAAACAAATAATACTTTCATGAAGTTAAATTTGCGTGACTCAAATTAATTTTAGAGACGACAAAATTCCTTGACTTTACTCTTTGCATAGTGCAAATATTGAAATAATGTGTAATTTTTAGACTTACATAGATTCAGACATATCTGCTCATAGAAGTAGCAACCATTTAAAATTCATTCAAGCTTTCTTAAAATCATATACTTAACAAAAATAGATTCTTTCTACATATTATAACCTTTCGTTTCATCGACACTGTCATCTTGGAAAAACTCTGACCATGCCACAATAGCATGGTTCAGTATTTTCCGACTATGGTCCGGACTAAATGAAATTCAGATTCAGTTAGTTCGACCATAGTCAAGAAATCACGATAACCGAAGGTCGCTCCGATTAAACCCTTTTTCCCTCTCTCGAGTAGAGGATTTCGCACCTGTGTTGTTCTACCGACTACCCTAGCACATATTTAATCATAGATGCATGACCTCCCATTTACATGTGAATGGGCGCGAGACAATGTGTCTCACAGAATTGAGTCGACTACAAATCCTGCAGTTTAATTTTCTTTTTCTAAAAAAGTCATCATACTATCATGAGAAAAGGGGTGTGGATTGTGTCTCACAGAATAGCAGAAATTTCGAAGTTATTTTAATACAACTCAAATTTATCAAGATCTTGTTTTCTATAGAGTATGTGGTAATACATGTATCCTATATTGAAAGGATTTTTCTGCGGCCATTTCTTTAGCCATGTAAAAAATATCGATAATAACAGCTATTTAAATAGCCAAAATAGAATATTTCATTAATTAATAATTATTATGTAGGCCCTACTAAAATTTTATTTCTTAATTCACTATAAAAATTTTTATGTACACCATACTGACAAGGTGGTATATAGCAGAGATGGGATTTCGCCCGTATATTCCAGACATGTCCAACACTATTTTCCAAACGTCCTAAATTGTCCGATCAGGAATATGTCCAATCGGACATCAAGACATGGTGAAAAATATTCAAAATTCCAAAATTATAGACATATAAATTCATAATACCGTACCATAAATAAATGACCAACAGTGAATATTTTGAAGTGGAAGCCAAAGGAGAATATAGAATTGTCTACAAATCCTTATCTTTCATATTCTTTTTCTCAGAAAGTAATCATACTTCGTGGTGAAAATGAACAGCTACAAACACAACTCAACAGAATGCAACATAAAGCTAAAGATCTGGGTGAAGATTATCGAGCAAGACTTGTGAAATATATCGAAGATATCTCTGTAAGTGCTTTTAAGATATCCGGTTTCCTCCCACTGCTAAAGACCCCTATGTGCAAGTGAAAGATTGAAATAAAATTGAACCATGTGTTAGTCCCGAAATGACCTGGTTTGTGTCGAGTGGACATTAAACCCCATTTCTCTCTCTCTCTCTCTCTCTCGCTTTTAAGATAATTCTTTTACATGTATAATAATGATATATTTGTAGAAAGTTTGAATATACCAACTGTCAAGCGTTCTTTTACGTGCACACCAACGTGTTCACGCGACCTCAGTTTTTGTTCCATCCAATCCGGAAAACTTAACACTGTTTCTTGCCAGACTCTTCATCTTGTACCATAATGGAACTTATCTACCAAAACTAGGTTCAATCCTGTGACCTCCTGGTTAGGAAACAAGTGCCTTAAGCACTGAGTCACAGTGGTTCCTAGAGAGCATAGATACAGACCGAATAGGAAATGGGATGTAACGTCCTACTTTTCTTCACTAACTGCGCTAATGAAGATGGGCATACACCATCCAGAGTGCTATGAATGAAATATTGCCCGGACAGAGATCCTAAGGCCTACTCTTATTTCAAATGACAACTGTTTAGGGTTCTTTTCCTTCCCATCTGGGGGTGGGTGGGTGGATGGCCGAATGGTTAGCACGTGCGTGCTGTATCATAAGGCCTGTCATTGAGTCAACTAGCGGGGTTTCGATTCCCCGGTTGTACGTGACAAGGAGTAGGGTCGCCTGTCCAACCTCGTTGGGTTTCTCCGGGTCCTCTGGTTTCCACCCACTGCTAAAGACCCCTACGCGCAAGCGAATTATTAAAATAAAATTGAACCATGTGTTAGTCCCGAAATCACCTAGTTTGTGTCGAGTGGACAATAAACCCCATTTCTCTCTCTCTCTCTCTTCCCATCTGACTAGACACTTACAGTTTATGTCTATTTGCCACCTGAGTTTTTCTTGATGAAAAGTATCATGCTTTATTGTAGGAATATGTGGACCATGGAAGTGGAGTTCCAAACGCAGCTACGGAAGCCAGATTACGCGATTATACTAACAGCATGTTAAAGGATATCAGACGGTCCCATCGAGAGCGAGAAAATCAACTGAGTCACGCAGCACAGAAATTTAAAGATAGGGTCAAACATCTTTTACATAAATATGAAGAAGTTCTGGTCGGCTACAGGTGAGAGAAACTCTTATGATTGGTTTTCTTGTTAACCCTTTCACCTCCGAGTCCCCAGGCATTTTGGTTCCTACTACAATTTTTGCCATTCTGGAATTAACCCTTTGACCTCCAAATCTCCAAACTTATTGGTACCTACTACAATTTTTACTGTTCTTGAATTAACCCTTTGACCTCCCAGTCCCCAAACATTTTGAGTCCTGCTACAATTTTTACCGTTCTGGAATTTAACAAGTGAAGAGAATCATCCACTTCCATTGTGGGCACTGCAAACCGTCACAGCCTGACAACCATCCCCGTCAGGTTTAAGGGGTTAGTGGTCTGGTGACTGGTCACATAGTTGCAGAAGTCCACTTCTATTGTGGGCACTGAAAACCGTCACACCCTAACAGCCGTCCCCGTCGGGTTTAAGGGGTTAGTGGTCTGGTGACTGGTCACATAGTTGCAGATTATTATTGGTTAAAGTCTCTGTTGATGGATTTTGAATCTCTTACAAACTACAATATTATAGTGAAAGTGGATGCCGAATATTGACAAATTTTCAATTTATCATATCTTTGTAAATACTGAAAGGAACTGAACAAATTTTGGATGAATATTACTTTTAATAATCCAACTTACACAATATGTAGTCTGCAAGATATGAAAAATCGTTGAATTGATGATCAACAACTCTAACCCTTGTTCATCAAAGGAATGATCAAGGCTATTTCTCAGTTAGAGAAATGTCTTGACATATATAAATATTTGTTCGGAATTAGCTTAAAATGCATATTGATTACTTCAGAAATCTCCGCCAAATCTGTGAAGCTAAAGGAGTATCTGAAGCTGAAATGGGACCTGATGAACATCATATGAGTCTCGGAGATGCAGAGATCCAATCGGCTCATTTGAAGGAAATCGCAAGATTGAAAGCGGAAATGTCGAATGTAAGATCAGATTACGAATCAACAAAAATAAGGGTAAGTGTAATTTTGTTTTTTTTACAGCCGTATTTCAATCAGCATTATGTATCTAACCATCTATAACCCTGTTTACACTTGGCCACAATAAACGTGCCATTCTCGGCACGGTACCAGGCCGCGATAAATTTCAAGAAATTGACCCGTTTACATTACTTTAAAATAACCGGTCTCGGAAACATGCCAGGCACGCCAAATGTGGAACTCTTCACAGAAAAGTTAATTTCAGTCCCTATCAAAATTACCCTAATGAAAACAATTATGGCGATTGATTTAGTTTGGACAGCCATTTTGACAGAACTGATGAAAGACCTGCCAAAAGGTCAAGGTTCATTTGGCGCATGCACAGTAATCCGTACTGAAACCTTTCTCGGACCGGTAAGCGTTTACACTACGTAATTTTAAGCATGCCGTGCCTGGTACCGTGGCAAGACCACCTCACCTCGGTGGGCCAGATTGGCACAGTACCAGGTACGACACGCTTATGTTTGACCCGTTTACACTACAAAAAAACGAACCGTGCCGTACCTGGTACAGTGTCTGGCATGCTTAAAATTTGTGTTGGCCTAGAAATTTCCTCAATTTTATGCATGGTTTCCCCTTGTCAGTGGAGCAGTTCAGACGACTATCTGAAGATTGTTATTACCCATGTCTGTAAGAAGTCTGTCTAAAGATTATTATTTTAAATGATTACGTTGTATTTGTAGAATGGCATCACCCTTGCCTGTATAATAGAGACTATATTTACTCGAGTCTCACCCTTGTCTCTCAGAGGTCTATCTAAAGAATATTATTATAAATGATTACGTTGTATTTGTAGAGTGTTGTCACCCTTGTCTGTAAGACGTCTAAAGATTGTTACATTATAACTAATTGTGTAGTATTTGTAGAGTGGTGTCACCTTTGCCTGTATAGAGACTATATTTACTTAAGTTGTTACCCTTGTCTGTAAGACGTATATGAGGAATGTTATTATAAATGTTTATATTGTATTTGTAGAGTGGTGGGTATGGTGGTGATAAAGATGATGGAGGTGGTGATACGTGGGGTCAGCTACGTAAACAGATGCGAGAATTTACGTTAAACACACAACAAGGTTTAGAGCAAGAGAGAGCCAGGTTATTGAGTGAAAATGGCGTACTGCGGGAACAGTTACGAGAAAGCCAGGATTATATTGATAACCATTTAGTCAGGTAAAATAAGTCAGGATTATATCGATAACCATTTAGTCAGGTAAAATCTTGTCAACATTTAAAGTCAGGGAGTTGTATGTTCGAGTGGTCAAACTCCTGCGCTTTGATCATAAGGTCTGTCATCGAGTGAGTTGACGTGGTTCTGATCCCAAGGTTGTATATGGGTTTTCTGTGGTTCCTCCCATTTTCTCTCACTGCTAAAGACTCTTACGTGCAAGCACGTTATTTAAATACGACTTACCATATGTTAGTCCTATAATGACCTGGTTTGTGTGGAGTGGAGATAATTTCATTTCATTTTTCTCACACTAAAAGTCTCTGAATGTCATTTTTCAAACAATATCTAATTTTCCAGGGGGTGGGTGGTCTAGTGGTGTAATGTGAGAGTGAGAAATCACAAGATCTGTCATTGAGTCAAGTGGCGTTGTGTCGATTCCCCGATTGTACGTGACAAGGAATACGGTCGCCTACCCAACCTCATGGGTTTAATCCAGGTCCCCCGGTTTCCTTCCACTGTTAAAAGACCCCTACACGCAAGCGAATTATTGAAACAAAAAATTGAACCATATGTTAGTTCCGAAATGACCTAGTTTGTGTCGAGTGGACCTTAAACCCCATTTCTATCTCATTGTTCAGGGTTTGATCCAAACTAAAATATATTCTAATTGAAAATCGTCTGCAGTAGATGAGGAATGTTGACCAATACATCATATCTTTGTAAATACTGAATAGAATTGAACCATTTTTGGATTGATATTCCTTTTAGTGTTGATGAATGGTATAAAGCTTTAGATTATAAGGTCTGTCTTTGATGCAAATGTAGTGGTTACAATCCCAAGCTTGTACGTGACTAGTAGTATGGATGCCTGCCTAACCTCGTGTGTTTTTTCTGGTTTCCTCGTACTGTTAAAATGGTACCATTTTAATCCTGAAATGGCCAGGTTTGTGTGGGTGTTTCTCACCCTTGCACAGAATTCTTATACATGTTTTGATAGAATATAATGTTTTTTTTGTATTTTATTTTATTTTAGATATAAAGAAGAAATTCTCCGTTTACGGCGAATGTGTGGAATACAGGAAGACTCCATTTTATTAACAGACCAGCATAACTCAGCTCGGATTATTCGACACTGAACCGGTTGAACTATTCCTTATGTTAATCCATTCCTATATGGTCTTCTTGTATAAAATGAAAGCACTATCCTATTTGCTAGTCTTCACTGACCGACAAGAGAAATGTAATCAATTTAATCTTAAAAACATGATACCAGTTTTTCATTTTCATGCATAAAATGAATGCCCAGTCCATTACTATTGAAGCTCATCATTTTATGGAGAACTTGATCTGTCAATTAGCATGCCAGGGCCCTGTTTCTCGAAATCTTAACTAAAGATAAAATCCAAATTTTAGTAGATACTTCATTTTTGATTGGCTAAGCACTAAAATCAATCTAATATTATCCAATCAAATTACTAAAATTTGGATTTTATCTTAGTTAAAATTCCATGAAACAGGCCCCAGGAATTTAGTCTCTTAAAACACATTAAATACAGTTCAATTTATAGTTTTTAAGTGGAGTAACAAGTAAAATTTGATTTATAAATTAGTATTTCAAACAATTTAATCTTAAAATAGAGGAAAATGGAGATATGAAAATTCTGGTCCTACCCATCCCCTGATGAAAATCCTGAATCCTCCCTAACAACTGTTGTGGGAAATAATGTCACAAATATATGAGTCCTGTGATGAACTATTAAAGCTGTTGTGATATTTATTTGTTATCTGTATGATTGTTATTTGTGATAATTTATTTATTGTATTGTTTGTTGTACATATAATAATAATTAATTAATTGCACAATATTCCAGATTAAAAAGCAAATATATACAATCCATAGAGGATTTAAAATAAATAATCTTATTAAGAAGGGAAACAGAGACTTTTAAATTGACATATCGGTCATGCCAATTACCGGCATATAATATATGGCCGACCTCGAACCCATGCTCTCAATCCATAAACAAGTTATAATATCACAAACATAATATAAAATGTTTACTGTATAAAACTTAATATATATTTTTGTATAATGTTTTTATTTGGGTAATAATAAATATAATCAATATATTGTTATATTAATGTTTATATTTGATTAATAAATATTATAATCAATTATCAAGGTCTGTATAGTTGTGTGTGATGCACTCCTCCTCTAGTAATATTTTCTGGGAACTTTTGCCAGCAGTATTTAATGATGGATGTCATTCATCCAAATGACAATAGGTTGCCAGTCTTGAGGGGAGGGTTAAAGTGATAAATGATACTATGCAGCTGACAAGTTCTTTAATTTCTTAACTCCCACAATTTTAACTTATTCTGTGAAATTTGTCATTCACAAAACCTTCATCCATTTCTTAGAATCGTTCAGCAGTTTCTTTGACACAACATTCTATTGCCTTATTAGGAGAGGGGGAACCATTAGGCACTGACCCAGGAGTTGGCTGAGAAAGTTCCTCAGGATTTGCTGGCATGGTTCCCCGTGTCAGGGGTGCATGATCAAGGACCTGGCAAGGAACAGCGTCATTCAGATTGAACAAAAACAAGATCCTGTGTTCACGTTCACATGCACATAAAAGAACCCTTGACAGTTAAAATTATAATAAAAGTGGGCTGTAGCACCACTGTCCAGGAAAATTTCTCTCATAGCACACTGCATGGCATATGTCTGTCATCATTAGCCTAGTCGTTAAATGGTCAGGTGAATATGTTAGCATGCACGTAAAAGAACCCTTGGCAGATGGAGAGTGAAATGGGGTTTAACGTCCACTCGACATAAACTAGGTCATTTCGGGACTAACATATGGTATAATTTTATTTCAATAATTCACTTGCGCATAGGGGTCTTTAGCAGTGGGAGGAAACCGGAGGACCCGGAGAAAACCCACGAGGTTGGACAGGCGACCCTACTCCTTGTCACGTACAGCCGGGGATTCGAAACCACGCCAGTCGACTCAATGAGAGACTTTATGATACAGCGCGCGCACGCTAACCATCCACCCCCCACCCTTGGCAGATGGAATTCGATGAGGAAACACCGCTGTACTGGCAAACTCTTCTTCTTATTAGACAGGCTGGTACCGAATAGTAAGATGTTAAACCCCATTTCAGTTTTTAAAGAGATTTTCCATTTTTCAAGCATTTGTAGCATACACTAGAACTACAATTTGCCTTGAATTAAAAAAGACTCAAAGTTTATTAAAATAAATTTTTTAAAAAATATAAAAGTATACTGATTATTGAAAGCACTATAAATGTATAAAGGAATTAGAATATCAGAAAGTTTTTATCGAGTAAATGTCTATCAAAGCTATTATAAGTTTGCCGATTGGTGTTAAAATTATAGTTAAAATTGGTAGACTGTAGTACTGTAGGTAAAAGACTACATCACGAACTGGTACTGCCCCTAATATTAAAATAATTCCGTGACTGGTTGGAGGTAGACACCTTGTTCTCCAATAGGTTAGTATATTATTATAAATGTCCAAATTTAATTCTGTTTCTATGACATCACCCTGTAAAACAAAGAAAAATGGGATTTAACATCCTACATGAAATGAAATGGGGTTTAACGTCCTAATGTTCTGCTCCGTCTGGACTAATGAAGACTGGCATACGCCATGCAGTGTGCTATAAGGGATTTGCTCAGAGGTGCTCTCAATTATTTCAAATTTTAACTGCCAAGGGTTCTTTTACGTGCACGCCAATGTGTACACAGGACCTAAGTTTTTGGTTCCATATGAATGACTATGCATTGTTCCTTGCAAGTCCATCTGTCCTGCAGGATTGATAAGGAGTAGCCATGCCGGAAAATCTGATGAACCTTCTCAACTAACACAGGGATAGAACACCTCAGGTTAGTGACCCAATGTCTTACTCACTGAGCCACTGTGGCTCCTTAACATCCTCGATCGGGCTAATAATGGTTACTATTCAAACTGCCAAGGGTTCTTTTACGTGCATGTAAACGTGTTAACGCAACCTCAGCACCACTGACATAGGGAAACCACGATGAAACATCCTGAACTACTTTCTTCTCGGCCGACGCTGAGATTGAACCAAGGACACCCAGTGCCTTACTCATCAAGCCACCGTGGCTCAGTAAAAAACAAATAGAATTATACTCGAAAATAGAGAGATAAACTTTAGAATAGTATTGGGTTTACCATCTCGTCAACACAACACCGTGGCTCCCTACAGAATTATACTTGTACAAAGGGAGGTAACACAAAGAATAAAATGGTGTTTAATGTCTCGTTAAGACAATACTTTGGTCATGAGACTAACACCTGGTCATTTTTGTTTCTATGAAATCTCCCCACTCAGTGGATTTTTAGATTTAAATTCCTCCTTAAAAATGACAATTGTAGATCTCTAGACATATTCCACATCTCATGTCAAACGGTATGCCATCTTATCTGAAGAGCTTGCGCAATAGACTGGAATAACTAGACGCTAGAAATTGCAAATCCATTGAGACTCATGCCGTATTTCACTGGACGTAACTGATTTGAAATTAGAGTCAAAACGGAAAAAATTGAATGTAAATCAGTTTATATACAATCAGATTACATTATTATATCATGTGTTGCAACCCATTTGGGTCAATTTCTAGGTCCCAAATATTAGCGATTTAGCTCCTTTAACAATAGTCAAAACTTAAAACACTCATAACTTTGATCAGAATAAAGTAGGCCCCCTTTAATTTGACTGAAATTTTCAATATAACAGTATTCAATTCTCATTATCTATTTGTGAAATATTATAGCAAGAACGGCCAGCTCTTTATCTAAATCTTACATAATGCATCTTTAATTAGCACAAGGTGAAAACAAAATGTCCTTTCTGTAAATACACCAAATCATACAGTATGCTTACCATCACTTCCGATAATCTAAGAATGTTGTTGTGGACTAACTGTTCTAGTCTATAAGCACAGATTAACCAGTATGATATTAATAGTGACCATGTTGATACAAGCACCAATAACCGAACCCTGGAGAAATAAAAGAAAGGAAATCACCAAAACAAACATCAAGCTATTTAATGTCAGTCTATACATGTATTTGATCAATTTTAAACCTTCAATCAGATGTGTTTCAATTTTTGTGGCTCAGTGAGTAGAGTGCTAGTGTTGGCCGAGAAAGTTCCTTAGGATCTTTTAGCATGTTACTTGTCAGACACTCCATCCTGTACCACTGACTACGGGAAATCAGGATGGGAAATTCCCAGGGAACTTTCTCAGCCAACATGGGGATCAAACCCTGGACTTCCTGGTTAGGGAACCACTGTGACTCCATTTTATAGTACTACTAAACTGTTTAGTTTGTCCCATCCACAATGCTCTGTTGGAGTAGTTTGTCTGGTTATCCATTGTTGGTATGGATTAGAATACAATTAATGTGAGATCAACCATGTTTATTCACTCTCTAGTCTCTAACTTGACACAAACTAGGTCATTTCGGGACTAACACATGGGTCAGTTTTATTTCAATAATTCGCTTGCAGGTAGAGGTCTTTAGCAGTGGGAGGAAACCGGAGGACCCTGAGAAAAACCACGAGGATCAATAACTAATAAAGCGGAGGAAATTACTATAATCGATAAGTGCAATGAAATGAAATGCAATTGGGTTTAACGTCCTACTGTTCTGCTTCAACTGGGCTAATGAAGTCGGGTATATGCCCGAACAGTGGCGCTATGGCCAACTGCCAAGCGATCTCTTATGTGCACGCCAATGTGTACACAGGGACTTGTTTTTTCGCCCCATCCGAATGACTATACATTGTAGCTGTCCTGCACCACTGACAAGGGAGAAACCACGCCAAAATATCCTGATGAACTTTCTCGGCCAACGCAGGAATCGAACATGTAAACTCCAGGTTAGCAAGCCAATGTTTTACTGAGCCACGATGGCTCCCTATAATGTATAAAGAACCAAGTTAAACTGCTACAAGTTAAAAGCCCTAATTACAAAATGGACCTATTTCAATAGTCCCCTACTTTCTTTTGAAATTTAAGAAGACACTTACCAATTTTTAATTCGTCGAGGTGAAAGTTTATTTTTACTAAAGATATTATCGACTAGAAAGTAGACCAGAATTATAATGGCCACCACATACAAGAGTAGAAAGATCTGATAGGCTGGTGACAGACGACTCATATCAAAATCAACCTCTATTCTTCTCTGAAAAATAAAACACATAATATATGTGTGGTAGTGGGGAGGCTAAATTAAAGAAACATTATGGGAGATTAGATAAAGAGCTGGCAGTTTTCACTATAATAGTTAAAAGCTAGATAATGTAAAGGGAATTTGCGGAAAATTTCAGTCAAATTGATCCACTCTGAACCGAGAATATAGTGAATGCATGTTGGGCCTAGCCTTGATCATCATTACTAAAATCGGTACTATAAAAAAAATAGTCTTGATTATCCATTTTTTGATTTAATCATGAATGATCGGTGAGCAGCAGATCGGATCCTAATCCAGCAAATATCGCAGGCTAACGATGACATTGAGAGTTGATTATGGTCTGGATAAGTTAATTAATGTCTAAATACATTGTAATAATTTAGATAACATATCAGGCCTAAAGAAAGACCTTCAATAGGCAGATTTAGCTCTTGTATAATGTATATTTAAGTTTAAGTGGCATTTAGTAACTAAATGAGAATAACACATGACACAATTATATACGAGTAACTTAAAAAGTCTATTTCTGAACTCTTTCAGTCAACAATGTAATCGAACACGGAACCTACAGGTTAGTGAGCCAATTTCTTACTCACTGAGCCATCATGGCCACCAATTAAGAGGGAAAAAGCAAAGACCTAACCGATAAGACAAACCTGCGGACAAGACACAAACTACTAGCAATAAACAACAAAATTAATATCAATTATCAAATCAAGTGAATTAAAAAATAGACTTGAGCCCTTTTTCCATGTACACGTTTTCGCCGGTTACATGGAAATGGTCCCATTATATTTGCATTAGACCGACTTTTTTGCTGTCAAAAACATGCATGGAATTCGGGCCTTACAATAAAATAAAATTTTTACTTACAATTAGTATTCTAAAATCTTGATGCCATGACATGATTGACTTTCTGAAGGTTGTGTAATCTTGATCTATCACAACTGTATGACGCGAAGAAAATCTTCTTAATTCATGATTAAAACTCTTTAAACTGCTTAGAGATGAACCTTTACATATAAAACACAAACCAAAAAACATCAACATCATTTGAAGATAAGTCACACACTGGTAATTCTCTGTTAATATAGTTAAACACCATGAGTGTGATTTTAGAGCTATAAGAATCCATTACAATCTACAATATTATGAAAGTTGAAATGAAGTGGGGTTTAACGTCCTACTGTTCTGCTCCGACTGGGCTAATGAAGACTGGCATATGCCATACAGTGTGCTATGAGGGAAATTTTGCCCGGACAGCAGCGCTACGGCCTACTTTTATACTGAATTCCAACTGCCAAGGGATCTTTTACATGCTCGCCAATGTGTACACGGGAGCTCGGTTTTCCACTCCATCCGAATGACTAGACAGCTGTCCTTGTCAGGCCCTCCGTCCTGCACCACTGACAAGGGCAAACCACACCGGAAAATCCTGAAGAACTTTCTCGGCCAACACTGGAAGCGAACTTGTGAAAGTGGAAACTCCAATAGGAATGTCAGTACAATTTCATTCAATATTTACAAAGATATGACAAACTGAAAATTATATCGATCTATGTCGCTCCCTATGTAACACGCCTGCCACCATCTTTAATTGCTGTGAACCAAATTGATATGAGCCAGCAGATTATCTAGAATTGGTATTTTGATTTTATCTAAAGTATTAAATAATCAATATGAGTAGGCTACATATTAGCTTGGATTGAGTCATGGGAAATTTCACATTTTCTGAAAAATGCAAATCGTGCATCGTTACTTTAAAAAAGTTGGACAAACCAATTAGTGTAACCACTGGATCGTGATGGTGCAGGCGGAGACAAAACATATAAATGGAGTTTAACTTCCGAATGGGCTAATGAAAACAAGCATACACCATGCTGTGTGCTCTGAGAGTAAATTCTGCCAGAACAGTGACTCTACGTTCTACTCTAATTTCAAATTCCAACTGTCAAGGGTTCTTTAATGTGCATGCCAATGTGCACAAGGGACCTTGGATTTTCGTTACATGGAAATGTCCTGCACCATTAGTTCGAATACGGAAGTCAAGGGGCGTCGGTTTTACGTTACATGGATATGTTCTGCTGTTCCTTGTCAGGCCCTTGTATTGCACCACTGACAAAGGGAAACCAAGGATGGACATTCCAGGGGAACTTTCTCTGCCAACATTGGGGTTGAACCAGGGGCTTTTTGGTTATTGAATCAGCATCTGACAGAAAAACCATGGCTTGTGTAGTTGTGTAGTGTGGACATTAAATCTCATAAAATATACCTTTTAAATCAGATCTTAAAATTTAAATGCATCATGTGCTTCATGTTCAAGGTCTGTCATTGAGTCAAGTGGAATGGTTTCGAGCAAACACTTGTTTGTGACAAGGAGTGGGGGTCGCCTTTCCAAGCTCTATAGGTTTCCTCCCACTGCTAAAGACCCCCTACAGGCAAGTGAATGATTGAAATAAAATGTCCTAGTTTATTTCGAGTGGACAATAAACCCGATTTCTCTCTCAGATCTTACCGTGAAATTTGTGGAAGATAAAAAACAGAGTAGAAACTAAACAGATACAACTTAATAACAATCGAATTATCTCCCTTTCTGTTAATCTCATGTTCTCCATCTGAGGCCAGAGTGAAATACCTCCCCCAATATTTATCTGGTCACAACGTTGTTTCGTGTCATTGTGTTTCTCTACCAATATCTGCTGCTTCTCTTTAAGTGTCTTTACTGCAATGGAAATTTCAACATTTGTTTCTATCATTCCTTGGGAAAAAAATAAGTTGACAGCAATAAAACATCACAGCAGCTCAGTTGCCTGAGCAGTCCAGGAGGGTTGGTGTATATTTATTATGTTGTAGATAATGGGACCATACAAACTGATCATTAAAGATGCATTATGTAAGGTGTTCTAATCCATTTAATATCTTGGTCATCAAATGGCCTAGAGAGTTGATTATGGGCTTGTCATGTGACTAAATGTCAGAAAGACTTGCAATAGCTCTTACATAATGCATCCTTAAATGAGGTGCATAAAAATTAATTTGGTTTTGCCTAATTTCTTAAAAATATTCTTATTTGTAGAAGAGGGGGGTTGAGTAGTCTAATGGTTTAACGGGTGCGCATGAAATCACAAGGTCTGTCATAGAGTCAAGTGTTGTGTTTTCAATTCCCAGCTTGTACTACACCAGTGACATGGCGAAACCATGCTGAATTTATCCTGAGGAACTGTCTCGACCAACGTCCAACACCGGCAACGATTCTGGGACCTGCTGGTGTTGGTGAGCCACTTACATCATACTAAACCTCAGTGCCAATGGTGTACACAGGATCTCAATTTTTTTTATTCCAACCAAATGAATAGACCCTCTTCCTGGCCAAGCCTTCTGTTCTGCTTGGCTAACGGGGAGCTGGGTGGCTGAATGGTGAGCGCATGCGCGTTGTATCATGAGGTCTGTCATGGAGTCAAGTGGCATGGGTTCTATTCCCCACTTGGAGTCGTCTTTCTAACCTTGTGGGTTTTCTCCGATCCTCCGGTTTCCTCCCACTGCTATAGACCCATACGTGCAAGTGAATTATTGATATAAATTGAACCATATGTTAGTCACGAAATGACCTAGTTTGTGTCAAGTGGATGTTAAACCCCATTTCTCTCACTCTTTCTCTCTCTCTGTACCTGGAGTATTGCGTAAATTATATAATACTGGACTAATCTCATCTCGTTTTGGGGGCTTGACTTTCTTTTCCAGTTCATGTTCGAATTTTTTTTTTAAATGCTGTAAGGGTGTTAGCGGTGTCTTCGTGTTGAGGTGGTCTTTAGATCTCGATCGGGTCAATGGAAGTCGTGCGAGGGGAGACGGTTTTTCTGGTGTATATTTCGACATCTTGTTTGATGTTTCTGTCAGCCTGAAATATAGAAGAAATGAATCATTGATAATCTCTGTTTTTGCGTGTCAGACATTTTTAGTTGGGGTTAGTAGAGGGCACAGGCTAGAATTGGATCACAAGAAGTCTTTATTACTTTCAGGAAATGGAGTCAAAAAGTTTCCATTTATCCCTTTAATATGACCCGTAATTGTCGGTTTTGGGGTGGGGGGGGTAATTTCTATGCTGTGATAGCAGCTGAAATGAAATGGGGTTTATCATCTTCAATAGAAAGCTTGATCTCCCTTTAACTCTAGATCTGTACATCTTATCAAGGTCTTCACGTAATACCCTGCATATTTTTCGGCACCTAATTTTGATTGGGTATTAATTAATCCAGCTTGAGAGCCTATCAGGTTCCTAAATTATCACGGGGGGGGGGGGGGGGGGGGGTTGGATGGCCGAATGGTTAGCACGTGCGTGCTGTATCATAAGGCCTGTCATTGATAACATTTCAGGCCTAAAAAAGACCCACAATAGACAGATTTAGCTCTTGCATAATGTATGTTTAACAAATTTTCAATTCATCATATCTGTGTGGGGGGTTGGATGGCCGAATGGTTAGCACGTGCACGCTGCGCTGTATCATACGGTCTGTCATTGAGTCAACTGGCGTGGTTTCGAATCCTCGGTTGTACGTGACAAGGAGTAGGGTCGCCTGTCCAACCTCGTGGGTTTTCTCTGGGTTCTCCGGTTTCCTCCCACTGCTATTAAAGACCCCTAAGCGCAAGCGAATTATTGAAATATAACTAAACCATGTTAGTCCTGAAATGACCTAGTTTGTGTCGAGTGGACGTTAAACCGCATTTCTTTCTCTCTCTACTAAATCATCACAAATACCAGGTCTAGCACTTTCCAGCTAAAATGTCTACCTGTGATAATCGAGTTGCAAAGTTCAATTATGGTTCGATCAATTTCAAGGTTTCCATGGAGGTTGCTATAGTTGATTTGATTGTCTTAGTGTCACAACTTCTGATTGGACGCTATGTTAATGTGTCTGCAGTCAAGAAAAAAAACATAGTTATTAATAGGCATATTGAGTATTATAATATAAGTTCGGGAATTGCAAAGTAATCTAGCAACGTCCAGATGTTGTAAAACTTGCAGTTGTTGATGTGGCCCATTTATATAATGCCCTACTCGCTACTGTTCTACACTGACTGGGCAAAGCAATTAGTAAGCTATGCTGCTATGCCATGGTTTTACTCAATATGGCACCGTGGCATGGTTCAAGCTGTCATGTAGCACTAGCAGCTTTACGGCTAGACTATCTGATCTCTACTGACTCTAGACCGACGTTCGTTCGTTCCTGGAGTTTTACGTCCACTTCCACCATGGGTGATATCGTAGACAAAGGGTGATATCTCTAGACCTAACCTAATGTGTTTTTATTTATACAGCCCTGTCTTAATTGCGTCCTTGGCTTCAATCACTGATTAATTAATTGATATCGATGTTACCTGTTTATAAACATCAGTTTGAAGTTACCGCCAAAGTGGAATCGTCCAGTGGAGCAGGATGAACCATAACAGACTATCATATAATCTAATTTAAAATAATCAATTTATCATAACATCACGTGACCAGTAAAGGAAATACTATGAATAATTCCATGCCATTCTTATTAATTTCATATTTTTCTAATAAAAGCATTTTATTTCCCAAAAAAATTACCAACTCCCCTATTCCCACATAAACTTTTCCAAAATAAATTGCTTCCGGTTGAAATATATAGATTTACCTCCCTTTAATAGTAAGTGTTGGAGGACGTACACCACCACACGCGAAACAAAACCAACAAAAAATCCTGCGGAGTGCGGACAAGACAAACTACATAGACATTGCAAGTAATAAACAACAAATATCAAATCAAGTGTAGGCCTACGTAAGACGTAATAGATATCAACGCGACCGATTAATGCAGACTTGCAAACCTGCCAACTTGAATTAGGATTAGGGGAGAGCGGGGCACATGGGCATGATCATGATTTCTTTTTTTGACCTGAAGTGAAATCCTACAAAGAATCAAACTATGTACTCAATTGAAGCCAGTCATATGTTCGATTTAACAGTGCTGTTAAGAAGTTAATAAATTGAAACCATTTTTGTGTAGATCATTGTAAAACCAAATTTTTTTTGACCCAATGTGCCCCGTATGTGGGGTACAATGGGTCTCACTATGGGACACAGTTGGCCATCAAGTATGTTTCTTTTAAAAAAATGTATAGTAAACACACCGAAACTCATAAGAACTGTAAAAAGTAAACTTTTAGTTCAAAATATGAATTTGTTTTAAGACTTGAACACGGATATGCTGCTGAAAATTTTAAAAAACAGCTTAACATTGAATAAAAAATTCTTTAACTGGAGAAAAAAAATCTTTTATGTGAAAAACTCCTATGACTTGTCAGTCAGTAAGGATTCGTAACCTAGGACCAATATTTCCTTTAAAAACAGCTCAAATATCCAGATTCTGTCTAAAATAGACAGATGAGATTTAGCTAAACTCGAAATGCTTATTCTCAGTGTGCCCCTCTGAAATGTGCCCCACTGTGCCCCGTCATCAACCATGTCAGAAAATCGAAAATGGCAGGAAGACATGTGATAGTATTATGAAACAAAATATTTCTAATGAGAGTCAAATACTATCTCCTTCACCTGGGATTTCAAGTTTGTGGACTCCTGCAAAATCTGGAGTAGCCAAGCAGTTTAACCAGTCCGCCAAAAATTCACTTTTGCGTCCGAAAAACAGTTAATGGCCGATAAATATTAATCAGCTTACGTGAATTTATTGAATTTAGGAGGACAAATGGGGGCCGTATAGGGGAATTCCCCAGTGATGTCACAATTGAATTTTCCCAAAACAGTTAAAAATTACAAAGCCTGGTTTACTGTGCCCCATGGCTTAGTGTGCCCCGCTCTCCCCTACTAGTGGGTCTTTATCTACCGCCGAACAGTTGCTAAATAGTTTAAACAATATTCAATAAACTGAATAGGATTAAATAACAGGAAAGTACAATAAATTATTTAGGCCTGTAAGTTCTTTCTCATATTAACATATTTTTTATAGGCTTACTACAAATTACAATAAACAATGGTGGCCATATAGTGAGTTATAAACATAGATCATACAACGTTTTACCGGTAATTAGGCGCGGATCCAAGGGGGGTGGGCGCACTCGGCGCACGCCCCCCCCCCCCCCTATTTTTTGCGGTGGCGAACAATTTTTTGCCCTTATATATTTTCCCTGGAAAGGAGAACGAAAATACTTAAAAATGGTATAGTGATTCCCGTCGTAATTTACTCCAAAACGAGCCGGTTGGTGACTTGGTTGATTGCCGGTCAGTCCGCCCACCGAGGGCCGGGCTTCACACTCCCAAGTGCGGGCAGCACGCCCCCCTTTCGGAAAATATTTGGCTTTAATTCTATTTTCTGTGATATTTGTTTTTATTTACATAATAAATACATTTCTGTGATATTGTTTTAATTTGTCTCGTTACAATAACTTGTGTTTGGTGCAATATAGCCCGGTTAGGGTTGACTGCCATAACATATATCATTCATTCATTCTCTTTAGCCTGAAATACATCCCCAGCAAAACAAATACATCCTCAGCAAAACAAATACACATTGAGAAATGATAACAAATGAAAGCATCTGAGGGTGATTTGGGGGTTTTATTTTTTAAAAACAACTGACATAACGTAAAGATATAATAAAGGATCTGAAAAGCTTATATAAATTATTTACAAAAATATTAATAAATTGTTTCAAATGACATTATGAATTAAATTACACAGACAAGAAAATATATATGACATTATGAATTAAATTACACAGACAAGAAAATATATATTACATAGACAACTGCAATGGATCTAAATAAATTATTTAAAATTACATAATGAATTCGATTACACAAAGAATATAAATGCATTGTTTAAATTTACATAATGAAATAAATTACACACATAAAGTATAAACATTACACAGATAACGAATATAAATTGTTTAAAATAGAAAAAATAATTAATATTTGAATGTTAGTGTCATACAATTGATCAAAATGTTATCTGGGATATATCGTAATATAAAAGTATACAAATGCATTAATATACAAAAGCATCCGTTCCAATATTATTACCACTTAGAAGGGGATAATAACAACGAAATAAATCGGCCCATAAGTAGGTAAACGGCAACCCGTTTTTACCGTTCGTTACGCTGAAGACATCCATCATGGACACATCTAGGAATATGCGTATCTTATGGTATGATGCGTATGTTTCAAGCTCTGTTTTCTTTTTGTGGAGTTATCTCGACTGTCCCTGGAATTATAGCTTCCGTGTGCGTGGTGGACCCATGTTTCGTTAGAGTTGGGGTCAGGGCCTCGAGGGCCTCGAGGGCCCTGGGACAAAAACCTCGGGGATGGTGGGAGTTGTCTTCCCCCGACTCGAAATTGTTTGAAAGATACACGGTCTCTAGCGTTATTTTGGCGTATATCTGGTGTAATTGGGGGCACCTTGCTAACACAGAAACTGAGATTTAACACAACATATTATGACGTACCAAATACATATACTACGTTTTAGTTTTACTATGTAATAATAATCAGATGTACACGATTTTGACAGGAAATTTTAAGCAAGCAAACGGATAATCAGCTTATACCCATAGAGCGGTTGATAACCGCATGCATGATCATTGGCGGCAGAGCGGATGCCCTAACGGTGACAAGATCCTCAAACGGAACGAGGACTGACCGGGAACCCACGGCGCCAAGGCCCGGGCAGGTGGCTTAAAGTTTTCAATTTACCATTTTTTTTTTCTTTAAAGTGGACTGCCAGAATCCGATTCATATCCTATCCATGTGACTAGGTACCCACATTCAGGAAGGTTTCATTCTACATTTGGATCAAGTACAGTGTATTATTTTTTTTATTAATTTATACCAACAATTTTGTAAAAATAAAATTACTCGGTAAACATCCGAGCCCCTGAATAAGTGCCCCAGCTGTGCAGTGGGGTTGGATACGTGCGCGCTGTATCATAAGGTCTGTCATTGAGTCAACTGGCGTGGTGTCGATTTCCCGGTTGTACGTGGCAAGGAGTGGGGTCGCTTGTCCAACCTCGTGGGTTTTCTCCGAGTCCTCCGGTTTCCTCCCACTGCTAAAGACCCCTAGGCGCAAGCAAGTTATTGAAATGAAATTAAACCTAGTTTGTGTCGAGTGGACGTTCCCCTCCCCCCTCTCTCTCTCTCTCTTTTATGTCCCCTGATGGAGGTTATAAATTTACGAAACGGTAAAAACGGGTTGCCGTTTACGTCCTCATATACCGATTTATTTCGTTATTATTATTCCTTTCTAGACCGTAATAATATTGGATCTCGTGAGAAAAGGTAATAATGGTTATCGAAACGATTTTCTATTGACTTTGTGGTGAAACCTAAGTTTTGGATAAAGGTGCGAGAATGGCTGTAGTTAAAAATATAAGGTCTAAAACATAAAAAGAGAAATGAGAGGCATCTTTTGTTATATAAATGTATTGAAAATTTGTTAAATGTCGTTGGATAATGGCTGATATTATTAATATACATCGTCAAAATAGTATAACCCGAGCAAGATATTATACAAACCACCATATCAGGACATGTATGTCAATCAAAACTACATTGAGGAAACAGGACGCGATAGCAATCATCAATCAATGTATTGCACGCACATTGAAACGAAATTAATATATAGTTATAGGGGTTGGGGAAGCCCCCATTCCCCTCGCTGCCCCGGTTCCGACGGACCTGTATTAGCAAGTAAAGCCAACACAACACGACAAGCATCATCATGCAAGACACGAAAGATAGGTGAAACCATTAAATGTTCGGATGATACATTATTTAATACATGTACTTGACTCTATTTTATTATTATTATTGATCATTTTAAATCTGGCAATTTCCATTAATACAATTTGATTTATCAACGGAAAAGCTGACTTGAAGTAATGAGGATAAGATTGAACAAATTCGTGTTGTATTAAGAACTAATCAAGACCGGTTGTTGCAACCATACGAAACAAACGATTTTAACCAGGCTACTATTGAACGGCACACCAAGAAAATGCGAAAAGCCACTTGACCCCAATTGACTGGTGTCTACTGGTACGTTCATAGCTGTGTTTTTCTTAATTTAGTTTGAGCCATTCTATGTTTCTATGACTAGCCTGTGTCTACGGTTGTATGCCGTCTATGGCTTGCCATGTTTTTATTTTGAAAATTCAGATATTTTTCATATATATTCAGCCATGTGTGCCGCTATTTTTTCGTGTGCTCTAAAGTGTGTCGTTGCCTAAAAAAGGTTGAGAACCACTGGACTATAGTGTCGAAACGTTCACACTACATAAAAGATTTGTTGTCTTATAATCAGTACTGTATAACCTTTAAGCAAAATAAGCACGTGCTTAGGGGATCATATGGGGGTGGGGGCACCCGCTTTGTTAGGTGACAAATTTAAAATATGTAATTCAGAAATTATTAAAGCTCTTTTAATGAGCTCCTTATGATTATTCTCCTTCCTTACTGTTGTCCGCTTTGTCTCAATTAATTATGACCTAGACTGAAATAAGAGAAAATATTAACCGGTATAACTAAACTTAA